CCTGAAGATAGACAGGATGAGAAAATGTTTGGCAGTGCAAATACTTATATGGTAAACCATCATTACCTGGATACCTTGGGTGACTTGATGTTCGATTAAAAGAGAGATTTGGGTATGTGGGTTGAGGAAAATAGTAGGATAAAACATTTCTGGCACATATCCATATGTGATTATTTATTGTTTATGACAACTTTCGATATGTTTGTAAGTATGTAACTTTTCAAGCAGTAAGCATACAAATATGATGTATGTATGCATAAAATATGTTGACCACCACTGGTGTATATGGATTTAAAGGAGGATTAGACACATTTATGGGGAGGATAAACCTATTCAGCAGCTGTTAGCCATGTTCTTATGAGGAACCCTCAGGTTAAGAAAGAATACTCCTCTGAAAACCAGCTGCTGTTGTCTTCATTTCCTGCTTGTGGGCTTGCCGGAAGTATTTGGCTGGTTCACTGGTGGAAACAAGATGCTGGATTAGGTGGAGGGCTAATCCCGGAGGGTTTCTCCTATGATGTTATGCTATCATCACAGTTAATGAATGGTTGCTAAATAGATAATTAGTTGAAGTTTATTGAATTGATATGGTGTTCAGGATTTACAGAGCTTGGAGTGATGTGCTAAAGCCAAAATCACAGTAATTATACAGTGAAGATACCTTTCTACAGCAAAATTGCACAGTCTCTGTGAAAGTCTGAAAGAACAACAATTCTTTGCAGTGGCTGCTGAAACTCATTAAGCTCAGGCTTAGAAAGGCTTCCCTTTGTAACAAATTCCATCCCATTATAGAATGCATACTTTAGTTACTTTGATACTAATTTGTTACTTCACTCACAGTGTACAAGAGAGATTAATAAGAAGTACATTGACCAATCTTGTTTGTGGCACAGTGTAATGCAAAAATTTCTAATGTAAAACAGATAACACTTAGTTCATTTATTCTAACAAAGATACCTTTTTAAACTGTTGCTGAGTATGAAGGCAATCTTATCCTGGATGCTTTCTTGTTCTTATCTATTTTGAAGGACTTAATTATTCCTGTTGTCAGTAGTGCAATTGCTTACAAAATTGCTTCCATCTCTAAATTACTATAATTACAGCTATAACTCCCATATCTAGTTAATGTTGCTGTGCAGCTGGTGCTTTCATTAACATGTCAGTTTTAGACTTATATGCTTTGCTGCATTGTAAAGAAAAAAATTAATATTTGTTTTCATCTTCAAAATATCTATTTCTCATAAAGAAAACTTTCTCTTAATAGTGTTAAGAAAGATCTTCCCTGAGATTTGCAATGTTTTTGTCACTACAAGCTGGGTTCCTGAAGGGATGGAACAAACTTAGTTACAGCTGGAGTTTCCTGCAGTTGTGTGATGAGCCTTCATTCTTGAAATGTATTATGGGACAATAACACCATGCATGGTCTCGCAGTGAAGGTCCTCTCCATCTCCTCCTCTGACATAGGCAGGAAAATGTAGAGACCTTTTCTTCATTATGTGTACAAGACATTATGAATAGGTGGATGCTGACTGTTTAAACAATTAATAAAGTTTCATGGACCCAGGTGAAGACGTTGTTTTAAAGACATGGACTGGATTATTGAAGCATGTGCTAGTTGTCCAATGCCAAAGCTATAAAGAAATTGTTTTGTGGTTCTCACTGTTCAACAGATGTGATTTTCACGTTTGCTGCAACAATAGTAGGGAGAATTTATTGTGTTTGCAACTGGTAGGATCCTGTCTGAGAAATTTAAACACAAAGAAAGGAGCAAGGAGCAAGAATTCATTTACTTATGATGCTGTAGGATCAGAATAGTACGTCACATCTCTATTCTTTCTGCCAGTTCCACCCACTGAGGCCTGGTTGTGTGCATATGTGGGTGTATACATGTCTTCTGAGCTTGGTCTTGTGTGGGAACGGGGGGTCATGGCTTATTACAAGCTCCAGTCAGTTTCAAAACAAGTGCAAATCATGGCTTATGAAGCTGTCTTGCACAACTAACCAGAATTTGTGATGAATCATGTTGTTGCTTCGCATACAAGCCTCTTCTCTCAGCTGTGTGGAAGGAAAAAGTGAAAGAGGAGCCCATAGGCCCAAGATTTTGCCCAGGCTCGTTCCAGTATGTGCACATACAGGAGCTAAACCATGGTTTAGTGCTTCATAAGAATGAGGACTATAGATACAGATTACTTTCTAGCATTTTATTTTAAATAACCCTTAAAAGTAGATGGCTACGAAAAGTAGCCGCTTTTAAATGGCTGCTTCCATAAACATTAGCCCACTGTGAAGTTATTATGCTTTTAATACTGAAAATATCAAGCATTATTGAAAACAAGAAACAAATTGGAGCGAAGTAGGTCGGGATCAAAATGGTGGGAGCTATTTTGATACAGCTTTTATGTGATCCGGTAAACAAGTTCTTGGCCTGAAAACAACCTTATTGGAGGCAGTATTATCCATTTTACAGCATATGCATGCCTGCTTTTCCTTCCGCCTATTCCTGTAAATGCTCTCATACCTTGTTGATCCAACACTGTTAGAGAGCTGCGATGCAGTATCATGTCAACAATATCTCAGGCCAGTGTTCCATAGTGTTGAGTTTCAAGAATGCTTTGGGAACTCTTAAACACATGTAACAAATGTTATTTTTACTTACAGGAGTGCATGGTTAACCCTATGTAACACAAATAATTCCCTATGTTTTCTGTCCCCATAGTAACATTCAGTATTGTTGCAGATCTCTTAAATTACTGTTTTGCTTTTTGAAATTATTGGAAGCTTTTAAAATCCTTCATAACATGTAAATTTTGCCAAATATGCATTATGTATAATGCAGTTTATAATAAAACAGGTGACATTAGTGAAAGTTATAATTAGGATGAAGCTCAAATAGTTTTCAAATGTTCTAATATTTGAGCTGGCAGTCAATAATCCTGAAACAGAATGTAGCTCCTTGACAGATGCTGCCTGACTCTTGCATTTCCCAACTCGGGGATGTCTGTGCACAAGTAAAAAGACAAGAAGGAGCAAAGCATGTAAAATGAGTTGTCTTGACATTCTTTCTACTTTTCCTCTCCTTTCAATGGGAATAATGAACAGTGAACATTATCTAGTAGCTCTTTCTGCCAGTCACACATGGAGGAGTGGGGGGGCCAGTGGAGAGACAGGGAAGGCTTCCCCACTCTTGCCAGCTAGCACCTAACATGGCCCCACTGGTTGGAGGAGGAGGAAAAGGCCCTTTCTCCAGGAGTCCTCCAGCAAAACTACTAGTTCGCTAATAAGTTTGTTACTTGGACCATCCTATATTCAGGGCACAACTGTCAGTTTCATTGCTTGAGTCTGAAATCGGCCTCTTCCCCCCATTTCTTTGTGATTACTTTGCCCCCAACTAATCTCTTAAATTTGTTTCTGGAGAATCTGAAGCAGAGCATTAACTTGAAGACACTTTGTGAATATATTTTATAAACTGAGACTTAACAGCACAAGACTGAAGATCAACATTTGCATACTGTATGTGGTGTAGCAGACACATTTTGAATGGACTCTCTTACTCAAAAGAGCAATTTGATACTTTACTGAACATTTTAAGTATACCAAAGAGGTAGAACAGCAGCTTAATGGTGCTTTAGGTTATGGTTGCTAGCTCGATCAATTTTCCTTAATGTGCTTTAGCTTCTCTTGAATAACAGTAAACTTGTCTTTAAATAAAAATATTCAGAGACACAAAAGAACAACAAATGATTATCGGGGTGTTTAAAAGCTCATTTCGTTTGCATGTATTATCCCAATGTGTCTTCTGTCGAAGTATTGAGTCTTCAAACAAAAGGATACAAATTAATTGTGTTCTGGGGCCAGCATTTGATTTCCCCCCCTTGTACATTAATTTTCTCTTGTTTCTCTACCCACTCTTATCAGAGATGCTCACAATGGTTTAAATTCCTTTAACAGAGTATTATTATCTGTGCTTTCAATATAACTGGTATCCCTTTTTGATGAAAAGTTAAAAAAATGTAACTGTTATACAAAATTAGAAATTATTTCCTTTTTTCGGTTTCTAAGTAAACATGTTAGAATGGTGTGCCTTGACTTACCAATAAAAACCCTCCAATGTAAACTTGAAAATATCAAACGTTATAGATCTTCCTAGATTTTTATTCCCATCTGATCATATAGCTTTTTACTTGTTCTTCTTTAAAATCAGGGGTGTGAAACAGCAGCCTGCAGGCCCCCACCACTGTCACATTTGGCTTGTGAGGCCATTGTGGCTAAGCTCCACTACCTGCCTTGCACCTGATGTCATGTATGATGTTTAATGTGGGGCAGGTAAGGGTGGGGCTTTGCCAAAAGTGTTCTTGCAGGTATGGTACCTATAAAACCTATTATATTGCTGAGCAATATACCAATCTGAGAGACTTCTAAAGACCGACGTGGGCAATAAAGCTCACCCAGTGTCATTGTCATTTAACTCAAACCAGCTCCTCAAATGTATCCACTCCTCACAGAAGCCTTGGTGATGAGGTGTTTAACCTGTGTTCGAAAATTTTAATTGCTATGCTTTTCTTAGGTAGGAATCCTTGACCTTTACTGGTACTACTTGAAACAAGAAGCAGCATTTTAATTACAGCCAATTTTCGTATAGCCATTCATGACTTCCTTCCTTCCATAAACTAGGAATACTTCATGTAATCTCATTTGGTAAAACTTTACCAAATACCTTGGCTACTATATGTAACCTGCATGCTTCTTATATTAGTTTCCTCCTTAATTATCAAAGTTTTTTTCCCCTTTGGATAATGCGATTCACGGACAGTTATTGGTACTATTTTCTACTTTTAGTATCTAAGATTTCTATAAAGTAAATCAAAATCAAGAAAGGTATTACATCAATTTCTTTAAATCTAGAGTAAAATTGAATATTATTCCTCTAGAGTCATTGTAAATGCCCTAACAAAATTATTTCCCTTATTTCAGTATTTGCTTCTCTTTCCCTTTCATTTCAGTTGTAGGACCAGTAATAGAAAGAGCTTGATCGTAACCTCCAGCACATCTCCAACACTTCCTCGACCACATTCTCCACTCCATGGCCATGCAGGTAATGACAATCCCACCCACCCCCTTTTCTGTAAATCTGTTTTGACAGAGCAGCTATTGTTCTCACAATGCTGGGCATCAGTTTTTGAAGTGAATTTGGTATTTGTGACTGAAGTGAATCAGAGCTCATGAATAATTTGTGTCCCTAATTTTGACAGTAGGAATAGCATCTGTTTTTGGTTTGTAGCTTGGGCATCATGTCATAATGCAATTAATCACCTCTGTTTGAAGGACTGCCGTTCTTAGTTTCAAAGCATTTTAAAAACAGTCTGAAGTTTACTTTTTGTATACACTTTGTAATGTTGCATTTATGCTTTGTTAACTTCTCTCTTACCTCTAAGCGAGACGGTTTCTGTTTCATGTTATTCATTCTCCAGAGCAATTCTCCCAATTCTCTCATTTATTTTTCTTTTGATTCATCTAAAAAGTGTTTTATTAGAGCCCTTTGTCTTGGGCAGGAGTCCATACAAGCACTTCACTATGATAGGGAAACATGTTGTGAGCTCAGTTACAATTGGGAAATGAAGATCAAGATGCAGTAAACCACATTGGAAGAGTAACCAGCAAAGTCCCCTGAATAGCATTTCCGGGCACATTTTAGTAACCACCACACCACATCTTTCCTTGTTATTTTATCCCCCACCCTGCAATCATTCATTTAAAAAATATTTATATTTTATTGAAAATATTTCCAGAGCGATTTCCTACCAAATCCCTCTAAAACATTATCCCTAGATCAGATCAGTCCAATGAACTCTCACCTGTTGTTCTTTAATAATAGAAAATGGTCCATTTAAATGAGTTTGCTCTAAAAGCATATTGAACATACCATTGACCTTTGCATTGACTCTGTTTCTAAAGGCACCGTTTTATTGTTTTAGTTGATACAAACAGCTGTTTTTGTTTTCAAAATCCCAAGGTCCATAGAAAGTGATTTGAGGTTGTTACTGGAACCAGTCAGTTCTCAATCTCCCCTTTGTGGGTCAGGCTCCTGAGCCGGTGGATTGCAGACTAGATGCTAGTGCTCTCAAAGGAAACTGATTTTCTAGATCCATCTCAGTTTGGGCACAGAATCTGCTTTTGTCACTCTGCATGATGACCTCAGGAGAGACGCAGGAGAAATCTGCCCTTGTTAATTCTCTTTGACCTTATAGCGGTTTTCGATACTATCGACCATGGTATCCTTCTGGGGCAGCTGTCTGAGTTAGGGATGGGTGGCACTGCTTTGTGGTGATTCCGGTCCTATTTGGATGACTGTTTCCAGAGGGTGATGCTTGGGGAGTGCTCTTAGATTCCATGGAGCCTTCAGTGTAGGGTTCCTCAAGGTTCAATTTTATCCCCCAGGCTGTTAACATCTACATGAAACCGCTGAGTGGGGCCATCCAGAGCTTTGGAGTACATTGTCAGCAATATGCTGATGAGGCACAACTCTACTTCTTCTTTACATATACAGCTGTGGCAGTGGATGTGCTGGACCATTTTCTTGCCACAGTAATGGACTGAATGAGAGCCAATAAACTGAAACTCAATCCAGATAAGACTGAGGCACTTTTAGTGGGTGATTCACTAGACCAGATGAAGAGGAAGCTGCCTGCTCTTGAACGAGTGGGTAACTTGGGGGTACTTCGGGATCCATAGCTATCATATGGGGCTTAGGTGACCTTGGTGTGGGCTCAACTGTGCCCCTATTTGGACCGGGATAGCCTTGTTAGGTTTTGTGGCCTTCACCTCTTGGCATAAATCAAATGCCTAGCACACTTCCAGCAGAGTTAGTTTACACGTGGCTCTTGCATGTGGGAGCTGCCCTGATAGATAACGCTCAAGAAACAGGAGCAGTCCAGGCAATTCGCTCTTTATTGCCGGCATTAAGCGTAACTGTTGCAATATATACAGAATAGTCCACTTAGGCTACTGATCCCAGCAGCCAGACATCTCATACAGCATACAGCAGAATGCATCATTAATCCATACCAGCAGCAGTTGTAGTAGTAGTTTCATCAGTTGCAGGCAGTGAGAGAAACTAACACACACACTCTCACTGAATCTTTCTCCAGCTGTTTCTCTAGCTCTCTAGCTAGAAAGAGAAACTAAAGACCATCCTTTTAAGGCTACAAGGTTCCTGGCTGTGCAAAGCAAACCAATTAACTCCTGATCCTTGTCTTGCACCAGTGTAAGTAGTTAGGCTTCTTGGGTCAGTTTCCGGAACATTCTCTACTTCCAATTAACAGAAACTATTAAGTTTTCTGCAAAACGAATGATCAATCCCCCAAGAAGCCTAATGTCTGTCATCTATGCTCTGGTAATATTAAGGTTAGATTACTGCAATGAAGATGGTTTGGAAATGTCAGCTGGTGTAGTATTCAGCGGCCAGACTGGTTACCCATGCAAGAAAGTTTGAACATAAAACTCCATTCCTGGCCAAATTGCACTGGCTGCCAGTTAGTTTACAGGCCCAAATCAAAGTGCTGGTTTGACTCATAAAGCCTTAAATCAGGCATGGCCAAACTTGGCCCTCCAGATGTTTTGGGACTACAGCTCCCATCATACCTAGCTAACAGGATCAGTGATCAGGGATGATGGGAGTTGTAGTCCCAAAACATCTGGAGGGCCAAGTTTGGCCATGCCTGCCTTAAATGGTTCTGGACCATAGTACATCAAGGACCGCCTCTCTCCATATGAACTCACTCGGACCCTGCAATCATCATCATCTGAGGCCCTTCTTCAGTTGCTTCTTAAATGAGAGCTCCGGAGGGTGGCAACACAAGAGTAGACCTTTTCTTCAGTGTCTCCCAGCTTGTGGTATGCTCTCTCCAGGGAGGCTCGCCTGGCGCCTTTGTTACATATCTTTAGGCACCAAGCAAAAACATTGTCACACACCAGCAACACCGTCTGGCCCCAAAATGGCAACTAGGCATTCTGTTTTGGCGACTGTAACCCTGGTTTAAGGAGCTATTTGTCACCTAGCTTATATATCGTGGGTTTCTAACAATGTTTAAAAAATCACTTCGGAGGTGTGTCTGCTTTGCGGCTCTTTCTTGATAGTACCAAATGGTGCTTTGGAAGTACATTTAAATGCTGCTAATATTTCAGGGTATCTCCAATTAAACTTCAGTATTCTCTGCTTCATAAAAGCTAAGAGAGCTGATATCTCTCTTTCTGGAGATACTGACCCAGACAGCCCTAAACGTTGGCATTGATCCAGTCCTCCTGGGGAACTCCAGATGCTATAATTATCCTGCCAAGAAATGCCAAGATGTATGAATAGAATACTGAAAAAGTGGGAATTGTTGGCTTTCATGTTTTTAGTGAAACACTACAGTTCATTCTCTTCAAAGTGTATCCCCCATATCCTCTTTGGACAGCAAAACCGAAGGAATAGTAGCAGTTCAACTAGAATGAGCCATCTGGTCCTCTGATTTAAGAGCTGCTTATCTTACTGGTATCCAAGAACTTCCTAAAGTTCTCAGAGGAGAGTTTAAACAGTTGTCTGTTGACCTTAGAACAAGCATTTCAGAATTCTCTTCTAAAGACAGAATCCTGTAGCTGAGAATTGTAAAAGAAATTATTATGATGTTATAATAATTCTGTTGATTTCATAACAGAATCCAGTTACAAACACAGATTACAGAATACCTAGTACAGAGTCAAACTAGATCACAGAAGTGATTCAATTATCTTTGTCACTACAAGTTTGTCAGAGTTAACTAGAGGACATTCACTTGATTGAATGACTCCTCCCACTGGATTGGATAGGCAAGGTATTTTAAGTTAATGATTAAATTGTATCAGATACCCAAGACCAAAATTTGTTTTATTATTCCACACTCCCACTATGCATGAAAAGATGTCCCAGTTGCAACAATAAATTTATAACCCACTCTTCACACTGAGGTCCCAGGACAGGTTACAACCATTTAAAACACAACATTAAAAACAAATCAGAACAGCATACAATCGTAAAAATAGGGCGGGTCCTAAAATTTACATTTCTAATGTAAAAAGAATTTACACATTTCCAAGAAGTTTCAATGGACATTTTTCAAAAATAATTTCACTGGAAATAACCTCAAAGGTTTATAGGTGAAATGAGTAATAGTTCAGTTTTCAAATGGATACACTGTTATATGGATGTTTTCATTGTGCATCATCTTTCAAAGTAGTGATGCAAACAATTACTGGAGCTGTTTGATATTTGTGTGCATGTGTGTTTAAGAATAATAGAGGGCAGCACCAATATATGGAAGAAATAAGAAGCAGCAACTTGCGAGGTGTTAAGAGATATATGAGAACCCTTTGATTCTAGATCCCTTGCCACCTGATCATTAAATCTGTGTAAGCATTTGAGCAGCAAGACCACCACCTTGTTGCCTGTCAGCTTTCATGACCAAACAGAGCACTCTACTTTTGGTAACTGCACAGTAAAATGGTGTTGCAGCAGTGGTGCCCTTTTCTTCTCCATAGACATCTGTCCCAGGGGCAAGATGGTACTAACGTAAACGGGGGCCGGGGGGGGGGGAGTATTTCTGCTAAGAGTTGTGCATTTCTTACTGTCTCATTATGGTCTACCGTTGTGAAATGTAATTTAAATATTTATTGCATTTTCACTCCTTAGTGACAGGAGGGTATTCTTGGATTGCTGCTTCTTATACATGCAGAATCACAGATGACACCATCAATGAGAACAGGCTTGCCAACACCAACTTTTTTTGTAGTATAGACAGTGAGGACTTGCTCAGATCTTTATGGGGGTCTTGTGAGCAGTTTCTCTGGCATCTGCCTTGATAATAACAATTGCTTATAAATATCTGGCACTATTGTATTACGTGCGTGCACACACAGAGATTACCAAATTCTGCTGTTGTCCTAATGAGTTGTAGTGGATTAGCTTGACTTTAATTTTACATCTTCAAATAATTATTTTTTAACTTTTCCATAATGTATCCAGCTTGATTAAATGTTCTGTCTGTTAATTTGAAATTCACAACATGAATTTTCTAGAGAACGTGATATCTGGATTGAGACTAATAGGATTTTGGAGATTGATGGTCCTAATCAAATGCTTCATGGAGAGTTGCTTAAAGCTCTTAGGATGATTGGCACTGCTGCCAAGGTTTTTGTTGTTGCTGTTGTTGTTGTTTTTAAAAATTTCATTTGTCACACATTGCCATAGAATTTGAAGAGATTTGAGTCTTGGATCCCAGTACACAATTGCTCACTATAAAGCATTAAAATTGTCATATTCAATCAGAGGCTTTCACCTAATCACAATTTAAACATCCATCGTGGAGAGATATACCCTGCTTTATTTTTTATTTTTTTATAGCCTACTGTTCAGCCTGAACGTTCCAGGGTGGTTCACAACATTTCAGTTAAATACAATATATTACGTAAACCATAGAAACCTAGAAATTTATATGTAATAACAAAATAGTCATGAAATAGGAATGGATTCTATAAATTAGTCACCTCTCTGGGTATGAAGGAAAAGTTACATCTTAATGTTGAATAACTATTTGAAATGGGGGGCAACTGTATCCAGTGGGATACACCAGGGGGCCATAACAGAGAAGACCAAGCTGTTCACGGAACTACAAGCAGGGCCTCTCCTGCAGATCTTAAGGCTGACAGACAGTGGGAGCAACACTGTCAAAATCCAACCAATTGCAAAAATCATTTATACAAATAAAATGCACACTCACAACATATGCTGCTATTTAGATTTTTAGTTAACACAAAGACTCATGTATGTCACATGACAAAAACTCCTACAATGGAGATTAGTTTATTTTATCTCAGCAAATTTGTGTATATTTCTATTAGTATATTCTTAATGTTATGCAAGCCCTACTATTTGAACTGTTTTCCTCATGTTTCATAGACTGCAAGCTTATGCTGGCATATTGCTTGCTGCAACTGTAGAGGTACATTGATGTAGGGAAGTGCAGATAGTGTATTTTCACTCATTTCTACACCTGTGTGACGTTCCTCCACCTTCATTGCCTAACCCTCTGACTGCTGCCACTCATAGTCCTGCCTGCCCCCATCCCCCCTCCGATTTATGAGTTCTTTAAAACATACGGTTGGATTCAAACTTGTAATGAGCACAGTTCTGTTCATGCTTGAGAAAGAGGGTGGGGAGGTTATTTTTGCCAATTCCTCCTTCCTCCTCCTGTTGCTCCCTGTGTCCCTGGAAAGCTGCTCAGGAGAGTTGGGGAGGTGATTGTGGGGACTGCATAGAGAATCTGCAAAAATTAATCCCTTCCTCCAGTGGGGAAGCCTCTACAGGATCCTGGTTCCTTCCATAAATGGAATGAGCAAGTATGGGTCCAACCCATAGAATATTACAAGAAATAATACTATATAGGATGAACTGAGCTACAATTCCTACATTCCCCTTCTCCCTTCTGTTTTCAGTGTTTTCACTTTGACAAGTAGAATAGGGCTGCTAATTGTTTTTCATCTTGAGCTGGGAAATATCTCACCTGGGATCTAATTAAAATTCCAGAATGGGAGGGGGGGGATGTGCCACAGAAACCCCTATCAAACTGTTATTGAGAAGTCAGAGTGTGCTATCTAGCAGATTATGTGCTGTGCTGCATTTGTTAACACCACCCGTTTATAAACATTTTACTAATCTCATTTGTCGGCTCAGGCTACATCTATTGCTTAAAATGTCAATCTTCTACTGAATGCTGCCACATCTTGAATGTATTAGATCACTGCAAAAGTAGGTAATCATATGTTACTCTAATCAGGTATCCTGGTTATTTTAATGCTAATTCATCAGTTCCCATATTCAGATAACTTTACATTTGCTCCTATAGAAACAATTAAAGATCAGCACTTTTAACTGATGTAGAGTAAAAATAGATAGTAAAAATTGGTTACCGTCATCTGAACATAAAAAATCTCAGTGACTTGTACAGCATTGAGGCACTCATCAAATTACAATAACAGAAATAGTTTTGAATGCACAGCAAATGTCAACATTTTGTAATTTTCTGAACAGGTGGAAGTCCGTTGGACAGTCCCAGAAATTTCTCCCCAAATGCACCCTCTCACTTTTCCTTCGTTCCTGCCCGTAGGTATGTATGCATGCACATTTTAGTTCTGATTTGCATGTAAAAGCCTCATGAGGCAATTATTTTTTGCTTGTTGCTTAAAGTAATTTGGTGTTGTGTTCCTGACTGACTCACTTAACTCAATTCTCAAGAATATTTTTTTAAAAAAATATTTTTGTTGGCTTCTTATTCAGAATGTGAGACATTGCAAAAAAGCAAGCTAAAGGGGAAAAAAATGAAATAAAAAAGTACACACATGATGACTGCCTGGCCTAGGCAAATATTTATTATTGTGCTTATATTTGAGAAAGTGGATTCCTGTGGCAATATTTGAACATATGTGGCAGGAGATGCAAAGAGTTGTGGAGTTGGTATGCCTTGTGTTCTGCAGTGTTAGAGTGGGAGAGAAGGGGAAGTGAAAGTTATGATCACATTTCCACTCATGCTGTTTCCAGATTGGGACAGATGAAAATGGCCTTTGCCAATTCTGTTCACAGACCATATGGGGAATGCTTGTTTGAAATAAAGTGCTTTAAAGGCTACCAGCGTGGAACCCTGCCCAGTCAGCCCTTGTAAGTTACAGACAAATGCTGATGGGCAAAACAGTCAGAGAATCAAAACCTACCTCTGACAGCCCATTTTTGTGGGTAAGGTGCAGCTTCTGTATGTGGCTCAGGTACTCCCATAATAGCTTTTACATTATTGGATGGCACTGTTTGCTTGCCTGTTTGTCTTTTCATGGCATAGATTTGGTTAGCAAGATTTTTTATAGTTGTTTGGTATTAACTTTTGGGCTGTGGGGTATTTGTCATCCTTTCCCAATGGTTCATTGCCTAGGAGCACCTGGTTTCTTTTGCTTGCCTTTATCTTTCTATTCTGTCTACGAGCTTCCTGATACCAAGGCCTTCCTTCTCATTAGAGGGAAGACCGAGTGAGCTGGCTATTTAGAAAGAAAGTGTTTATCTTTTGGTCATCTATTTCGGAAATGACTTTTTAAATATCTGGCTGCCCAAAATAACACCAGGCTATCCATAATATGCTTGGATGTTTGAAGCAGCCCCCCCCAAAACCCCCCCCCCCTGGGTACAAGGGGAAAGGGGGAAGCAAACAATGTCAACTCCCCTCCGCTACTCAGTGCAGCAGTGTATTTTTTCAAGGATAACTGAATAACACTCAATGCTACCCTTTGCTCATACTGCAATACATTATGCAAATGGTGAGTTTGTGCCTTGCTTCATCAATTGCTTTCCCAACTCCCTCCAGCCTACAGCAAACACACACAGTTCCGGGCACTTAAGCCATGTTGCAGTGTCTTTACAACTGTTCCTAAAGCCTGGGTCTTCTTCAGTCTCAAGTGGTCTTACTGTTTCAGCTGTTGCTAATACAGTAGTGCATTATCTCACAGGATCTGTGACTAGTTATTCACCTTCTCTCTTGCTGTGCTCACAGGAGACAGATAGTGGGAGGAGGGCCAGCTACCATAAAGGCCAGTCCTATGTCATTCACAAAATAGCTATGCTACATGAGGCAACCTACACTGGATCATGGCACATGAGACCCTTCCCCCAACTTCCATGATCCAAAAGAGTGTGAGGCAAAGCCATTTCAGTGAAATTGGGAGGCAGGGGAAACTTTGCCAGACTGGAGACTGTACTTTTATCCTCTTTAGGTGGCATTTTTCTTCCCTCCTGAATATTTTAATAATTGCTTGGGTCAGGGGACATGATCTTTGCTGCTCAACAGCTTCAAGAAAAATGCGGAGAGCAAAACCAACCCCTTTATATGGCATTTATTGACCTGACTAAGGCCTTTGAAGCTGTAAATCCTAATGTCCTGTGGACCGTCCTCCTGAAAATAGGCTGCCCTGATAGATTTGTGAACATCCTTCAGCTTCTCCATGATAATATGACAACAATTATTACAGATAACAATGGCTCTCAAAGTGAACCATTCACAGTGGGGTCAGGTGTTAAACAGGGTTGTGTTATCGCCCCAACTCTATTAATTATTTTCATTGCCATGATCCTACACATTGTCAAAGGGAAACTCCCCACCGGGGTAGAAGTCATGTATCAAACAGATGGAAAGCTCTTTAATCTGAGTAGGCTGAAAGGAAAGAGTAAGGTTACCATAACTTCCGTCATAGAGCTTCAGTATCCTAAATATCTTAGCAGAAGCTTACGAAAAGCTTGGCCTATCACTCAACATCCAAAAAACTAAAGTGCTGCACCAACAAGCACAAAACAACCGCTCTGCAATGCCACAAATCCAACTCAGTGGTGTAATGTTGGAAAGTGTTGATCACTTCTCCTACCTGGGCAGTTATCTTTCCACAAGGGCCGACATTGATGCCAAAATCCAGCATCGCCTGAGCTCTGCGAGTGCAGCTTTCTCCCAATTGAAGCACAGAGTATTTGAGGATCATGACATTCGCAGGAGAACCAAAATGCGTGTTTACAAATCAATTCTACTACCAGTCTTACTGTATGCTTGTGTAATATGGACCACTTATAAACGCCATCTCCAACTCCTTGAAAGATTCCATCAATGGTGTCTCTGAAAATTTTTACATTTCACTTGGGAAGCCAGGTGAACTAATACCAGTGTACTGGAAGAAGCAAATATCACCGTTGTCGAAGCAATGATTCTTCAGCATCAATTTCATTGGACTGGTCATGTTGTTCAGAGGCCTGATTATTGTTTTCTGAAGCAACTACACTATTCTGAAGTTAAAAATGGAAAGTGTAATGCTGGTGGTCAACAAAAGAGGTTTAAAGACTCTGTGAAGGCAAATCTACAAAAAGGTAATATAAGCACCAACAACTGGGAAGCACTGACCTGCGAGTGCTCCAATTGGAGAACAGCCTTTACCAAAGGCGTTGTGGACTTTGAAGATGCTTGAACTCAGGACAAAAGGGAGAAACATGCTAAGAGGAAGGCACGTTTGGGAAACCCTCACCGTGATCAGCTCCCACCCGGAAACCTATGTCCCCACTGTGGAAGGACGTGTGGATCCAGAATTGGCCTCCACAGTCACTTACGGACTCACTGTTAAGACCGTGTTCATGGATGACAATCCTAGCCAGGCTATGAGTGATCACCAAAGAAAAAGAATGCTTTGACAACCAGTGTGCTGCTTCACTAAGCAAATATGTTGGTTAGAATTCCTTTCATATAGGGTAATGCGCTTAGATATTTTGTTTGATACTGCCACTCTGGCTTGCTGTGTTTTGTAATAATTCTCAAGCTGTTTTATTTTGTGAATGTTTATTTTGTTACTATAAAAAATCTGAGTGCTTTAAAAACCTGATAAAGATGAACCATTCTCAAAATAGAGTGCTTCAGTGATATTAGAATTATGGCAATGTAAATGAAAGGATTATCATTTTCAAACTACAGAATTTTGCCACATTCACATATGCAGTTTCATTTTTATCTACAAATATAAACAAATATGCCACTCCATCTATAAAAATTCCCAGGATGATTTACAAGCATGAAAACAACAATTTATTACTTTTTCAGAAGCAGATTATGTTTACAATTTCCCCCCTGTTTTTTTTTACTGGTACTATTTTTTTATATAGCCATGGACACAGGGCAGACAGGTAATGGTACACCATATATATATTATGTGGAATGTAAATGGAATGCTTCTGCATGCTACTGTCCTAGTGAGCTTATATGCTGCTATAACCCCATTTAGGCATTCTGGTGCTAACTTTGTCAATTAAAATGAGCAGCAAGTGTTTTTTAAACATTATCTCAAAGCGTCATCCTAGATATATCTACTCAGAAGTAAGTTTTGTTGAGCAGAATTTACTTCCAGCTAACTCTGTGTAGAACTGCAGTCTTAGTGAAGTTGGTCTAGTTCTGCTGCAAGATAGTATAAAATAGCTTTAAACTTATTTTTAAAAGATAGGTAGTGACCAGGATTTAAAGAATCCCATGTCTTTAGCAATTTAGCTTTTTAAGCTGCATCCAATAATGTTCTTATTTTCCAGATCAGCATTCTGGACTGGAGCTGCAGAAAACATGCCCAATTATTTACATCCAACATGTTGTTCTGTCCTCAAAGAACTGAACATGATGAAATAACTAATCTGACAATCCCTCAGTTTCACTTGAACTTCAAAATCCATCTTTCTGCATGGCAAAGTTATTTCTAGCTCTTTTTGTTCTCTGAAAATTTCAGTAGGATATAATCTAAATGTCAGTCCAGAATATAATGTGTATTGCATTTGTGTAGTGTCTATGCAAGACACAGGGGTGTTTTCTTGTTGTGCCTAAACTGGATCATTGTGCCTCATAGCAGTGCTAAGCTAGAGAGGACTTTGGGGATAGAAAAAAGGTTATAAATCTTTAATAGCTGTTAATAGGCACTTTTAAAGATGCATTTGCCATATGAAGGCTTCTTGAAACTTCTGAGTGGCAGCTGCTCCCTCTCAAGGAGCTAAATCATACATTTCCTTTTGTTAAATATATTAGCTGTACTGCATAGGTGTCTTCACATTACTTCCAGGAATGCTTTTTTCAGAGGTGGGGGGTAGCGTGGAGACCAGTCTATGTGGTAAGCTGACCCCTATGGGAACAGCCTGCTGTATGAAGCAGTTGTAAAACAGAAGCAACTATAAGCACCTTCAATATGACAGCCACAGGAGAATCCGTCCTGAGGTTGCTAGACCTATAGCTTATGGTAGCTCTCTGTATTTCTACTTGTTTTAGAAAGGGCCTCAGGATTTCTTCGAAAAATATATATTCTAAGAGTAACCAACTGTTTCATGGAAGTTGAATTATTTTTCAGTTCACCATTCAGAGAGAATGGGCATGCAGTTGCTGTCTCAACTTTTTCTAAATAATTTTTAAAGCCCTGATTGGTTGTTCTGGTAAATCAGTGTGCAGTGTATTTGGCATATGAAGAAGCCTTCCTCCAAAATAAAATGCTGCTATTGTTTTAAACAGCATCTTACAGTGTTCTCCTAGACATATCTATCTATCTAGATACATAGAGATAGATATGTAGACATATATACATGTAGATACCAGTGACATTTGAATGTCATTCTCTTTAAACAATTGCCTTAATGGGGTTGTAATTATAGCATGGATTCAGTAACTGCAGCTTAAAACATTGTGATCCTGTGCATGAAGCATGAAGACATTGTTTATTAAATGCTTGTGCTGTTTAATTCTTAATTGTAAGAGAGATATTGGGGGTAGAAATGTCAGTTGTTTTCCTGAATCTGGTAGGTAAAATGAGATGCTTGCACCTTTCTCAAAGTAGACCTGATTTTATTTTATTTTGAAACATCAAGCAGAATAAAGGTAATTCAAAAGCTTTGCAAAAGATCTGTTCAGGGCACTGTTGGTCTAAACCCTCTCAGCGTGTTATAGAAAAAAAATGTGACCTGTTATTTCTAGCTAAGATAGCAGTCACAGCTTTCACATTAAATATCAAAAAACTGTGTTTCACTCACTCGTTTAAATTTAACTCTGTTTTGTGACATTGGACTCTTACTCTTTTCCTCAAGAACTCAATGCATATGTACATAGATATCTGTTTTGACTTTCCATGTTTATTCATTTTTAAACCCAGCCAGATGGTTGGGGTATAAATAATATATATATATTATTATTAAATTAAAAAACAATAATTAGGTTGGAGCTAAGACACCAAACCAAACCTATGGCTTGCCTGTTAAATTGGTGTAAAGAGCTTTATTCAACATTGTATATCTGTATAGGACTCTCATGGTTTTGCATGGCACTGTAGTGCTAAATAGAAGAGCGGGATTTGTACCAACAAAAGTACTGTTTCCCAGTACCAGTGGGAAGAGCCCTGTGCTCACATTGCAGATTGTGGGGTCCTGCATAATGTTCAGCTCATGCAAGTACCACAGTCACTATTGTCTACAATGTCATTGGGCAAGGATCAGTATGGCATGAAGACCTGAGTGGAGTTAGATTGCCCAGGTCAGATATTCAAGGGCACAAAGTAGGTGTTTGTAGTATCAAATTGCAAAATAGAAAAAGAAAAACCCTCCATATTACATCTGTTAAATTTGTGGATTATCTTAAAAGTATGATGAATGTCCTGGATATCCTGTGGAATAACTATGTAATGTTGCCTTAGAAAGCCATTTGTCTTTTTTTAAAAAAACCACCTTAGTTATATACAGATTGTGAAAACATACCTTTATTTAAATCAGATTATAAAGCAGTTTTGCCTGCCAACCTAGCAGTTCGAAAGCACCCCCGGGTGCAAGTAGATAAATAGGGACCGCTTACTGGCGGGAAGGTAAATGGCGTTTCCGTGTGCTGCGCTGGCTCGCCAGATGCAGCTTTGTCACGCTGGCCACGTGACCCGGAAGTGTCTGCGGACAGCGCTGGCCCCCGGCCTCTTGAGTGAGATGGGCGCACAACCCTAGAGTCTGGCAAGACTGGCCCGTACGGGCAGGGGTACCTTTTATAAAGCAGTTTGCTTCTGGAACATCTGCCTATGGGGAATGGGGATTTTATTTTCAAAAAATACTGAGTCTACAAAAATATTAATATGAGTCAGAACAGTAGGTGAACTGGTCATATTTTTTCACCACAGATTTTGTAAGTCAATGAAATGTTGTGAATTTTGAGAATCCGAAACCGTTTTTATGGCATCCAAAATGTTATCGTGGAAGCCATGATAACATGACACCGAGTATGTAAAAAATGGGTTCAGGTAATTAGAGGAGCTCTAAGCAATTTTTCATGGGTTTGTTTGGGTGTGGGTAGTGACATTTATACCATAGGTCAACAACTGGTCATTTGTGAGCTGGATTCTCCGCTACATAATCATTTCTGTCACGGCTTCATGCCAGCTTGAAACAATTTCACGGAGAAATGAAGAGGTTGTGTCAGATAAACAAACACATTGTTAATCACCTATGGCATATGGGTTATTAAAGCAGAAGAGATCTGTTGCTTATAAACACCAGGGCAAAGTTTTAGTAATGTTGCTTGCATCTCTTTCTAGGACAGATGGGCGTCGTTGGTCCCTGGCCTCCCTCCCCTCATCTGGATATGGAACAAACACTCCCAGTTCAACAGTTTCAGTAAGTAAATTTTCACAATGGTTAGCTAATTAGTAAAGTACTTGTAATTCTTCTTGTTTCCAATAGTTAATGGTGATTTCTACCTGTTATTTTACTACATGCATTATAACTTGTCAATTTGACATTCACTGTTTTTGTAACTCTTCTGTAGCGGGACTTCAAAAGTTTTTCAGATAAATTTCCCTCTATCAGGTTTCAAAGGAATGGTACATAATTCAGTGGAAGGTTAAACATCTGCAAATCTCAAGGAGGTGTCCTAAACCATATTTATGCAGCTGATGACCTCTGAAAGACCATGACTTTAGGACTGAACCTAACCATGTGACAGACTGTTGCATGCAAGGCATTACAGTGCCAGCACTTGCCAGTGCTAGTTAAGTTTTTCCTAAAAAGATACTGTGGAGTCCAGTGAGCTGCCATTATTTTATTTATTTTATTTTATTTTATTTTATTTTATTTTATTTTATTTATTTTATTTATTTTATTTTATTTTATTTTATTTTATTTTATTTTATTTTTTTATTATTATTTACTGTGTCCAACAGAATCACATGTATATGGAAATCAGTCTGACAGGGGTTAATATTTTTTCCATTGCCAAATGTGAAGTGGGTGCTTAAATTTGGCACTGTACTCTGTCCTGAGTCCCTCCAGATTTGGTTTAGACTTGTCCCTTAAGAGTTTGGTAAAGAGATACCATTAGTTGAAAGCGTTGTTCTGAAGTCTTTAAGTCCTCCAGTAATTCAGGGTTTTCTGAGGCACTTAGTACCTCAGGCTGAAAGTTGTTAACAGATGTTTTAATTGCCAGTACTGCCATCTTGCACCTTTACTTAAAAGCTATTAATCCTGTGACAGTTACAGCATAGATGCAGCCACACCCTCTATCCCACATTTCCACCTTGTATCACTAAACCTTGTTTTTATGTAATTTGTCTTAAGTGAGACAGTAATAACCTACTAAGAGCATGTTTTGAAAATATTGTTCATTAAAAAATTGCATGCTCACACAAAAGAAAAGCACTGCAAATTAGTAATCCCCCACTTTTTATGGATAGCCTCATCTTTTTATAGAAAACTTCAGTTAATTTAATATTTATACTTTTATGCCTCCCTTCATCCCATTATGATTTCAGGGTGGTGAACAAACATAAATCTTGTTACATTCAGTTGTTCAGTGCAGGGGTTGCCAGCAAGTGGTTTGATGAAGCACGTGAAGAAAAATGGTTAATTCTTGCAGGAATAGTTATTCACTAAAGGAATTCACCAATGACAGCTTGAAGATTCATAAGCATTTTCTTCTACCTCTTGAAACGAAAGAACTCGTGAAGTGTGTTCATCTATGTTAAGTCTTGTGCCTCACATTAAGTGTTCCCTTGTATATACTTTGTTCTTAGTCATCATGTTCATCTCAGGAGAAGCTGCACCAACTGCCTTATCAGCCAACACCAGATGAACTCCATTTCTTGACAAAGCACTTCAGCACAGAGAGCATCACTGATGAGGAAGGGCGGCATTCTCCAGCAATGCGCCCCCGATCTCGCAGCCTCAGGTGAGCTTCACACTCTACTTCTGGCATCAGCAATCTGGTTCACCTGCCTAGTTTTCTGCTTCACACTTGCAAGAATAACGACTCCACTGCAGCAGCAACAAAGTAGCTAAAGGAACTCCTTGTGTAAACCAAGCACAACATGGCTTCCCAGCACAGCCACTTTAGAATCATGAAACCTCTCAGTTGCCATTTTGCTGGTACAAACTAATGATTTTTAGGATGCAGTACCCTTCACTTGAAAGTTCCCTTATGTCCCAGTACTGGGTAAAGAAAATGTCTTGTTTTCCCACTCTTCTAAACTGATGAGTAGTGCTGCATGTCCTGTTTTAACCTGCGTGCAGTGATGATGGTCTTGGCCCTCACTGCCAGATGGAAAAGCTCTAACTGGCAGCTGTGGTTATGCTAAAGGCTTTAATGCTCAAATGAGATCAGTACATAAGGTAATAAACACAAGCCAATATGTTGATCCAACAAGTAACACGCCCTCTGCACCTTCCTAATGAAGAACAGGGCAGCCACAGCAATTAGTTCATCAAACAGCTGGAGTCCCAAGAACGGACATTCCTTTGAATGAGTTGGCTTGCATCTGCGCTGGTGTCTGTGTCCATGGAAATGGAGGAGGAGTCCAGACCCCCTCAGCATCAGACTTACTCTCAGTTGCCACTCCAGAAGGGGAAGGCTCATCACTAAGAGAGAGAAGTGGTTCCATAGTAGGTGGTGTTAGGCTAAGGCTATCCAGTGCTACAGAGGTGGGACGCTTCTCCGACAACCTACTCAGCTCCTCCCCGGCATCTTAATTTTTGTCCCCCAAGCCACTGAACCACTCACTCCCTGGGATCAGACACTTCTTACAGATGAGACACTTCTTTGTAGTTTCCCAGGCTAAAGCCAATCATGCAATATGCTTCATCACACTCTTTCCACAATCAAGTAGTCATTTGATTTGGCAAGTTTTATTTCTAATGCCAGTTTTATTGCTAGCCTGGAAAGCTACTAGTATGTTTAGCTGTTCTAAGTTTTGGAGAAGAGACTCTGTTGTCCATCTATTTATTTACATCTTTAACACTTCCACTGTTCCTATGACTATTGCCTAGTCTGTAGGTAGAGTACTATATTTGATTGATAAATCAGTTCTGAAACATGTCAGACATTAATCTTTGTAAATTTAACCTATTGGTATTTTAAAAAATGTAAGCTATTTTTGCTTCTATAACTTTTTCTAAAGACAGCTGATAGTGATAATTATTGTATAAATTATGCTTCTAATCCAGGGTAGTCATAAGAATCATAGTGTTGTGGAATTGGAAGGGACCACAAAGGTCATCTGGTCCAACCCCCTGAAATGCAGGAGCCTTTTTGCCCAACATGGGGCTCGAACCCACAACCTTGCCCTCAGAGAATAAACTGAAGAGCTGGTGGAAGTTTAGTTTGTGTACTTTTTATTTTAAAAATTGCCTTCCCCATGATAGATGTAACCATTAGCTGAAATCTTATAAATTATGCTAATACTTTGTCTTTATGCTTTATACATGAAGCGTTTGTCAACATTATAGTTTACTAAATTATTATTTACATTTATGCAGGACTGGAAAAGGCAACATATTATAAATATAAAACCAAAAAGGGAAAACGTGGCTCTAATTTGCTATAGTTAATCAAGGAATGAAGTGTAATTTCTATCTGCATTACCTCATTTTCCCTTAAAGGCTACTTAAACGATAGAATGAGTCATAGCATTACATTCTGGCTTCTGTTCTGTGATGATGAAAGGAAAGGAAATCATGCTCTTTGTGTACCCTGTTAGAATTTAAAATATATTCTTTCAAGCAATGGTATGGTTCCTTAACATTATATTCAAGATGATCAACAGAATTTTCTTGCTGTAACACCTGGTTTACATGCCAGTATGACATATTTTAATCTCTAATCTGAGAACCAGTGTGGCGTAATGGTTAGAGGGTTGGACTATGACCTGGGAGACTAGAGTTCCAATCCCTACTCAGCCATGAAGCTCACTGGGTGACCCTGGGCCAGTCAACATCTCTTAGCCTACCCTACCGTTCAGGGTTGTTGTGAGGATGAAATGGGGAGGAAGAGAACTATTTACACCACCTTGATCTCTTTGGAAGAAAAAGGTGGTATATTAAATAAACAACTCTCTATCTTATCTATCCATCATGCTCAGTGGTTTCTGAACACATTTGGCCTCACAGCAGACTCCTGTCTCCACTATTTTTTGGAGACAATGGAAAATTCAAATCACATTGGGTAAAATGCCTCAGTAGTAATCCTCCCCCACCCTCATTTAAGGAGGAAACAGGTTATGTGAAATCTGTCCTGAAAATCAGGACCTGAGCTCATGGTTTGTTCTTCCCCATCTGAACAAACGACGAATGATAATGAAGGTTTGTTCATATCTTACAGCCCATAGTCAAGGAAAGCAAACCGCAAGCCTGGGTTTGGACAGCACGACAAGCCAATGTCTGGTTTCTTTAGTCTGGCATGGGAGAAGTGCCAGTCAGTGCTGCCAGTACTGAGCTGAGAAGACCAGTGGTCTAACCCAGTATGTCGCTAGCATGTAAATTCACTTTCAGTTTAGAAACTTTAATCTTCCTTTTATACAATGAACTCAAAGTAACTCACATTAACTTCATAGTACATATTTTAACAATGGTGTTTTCTAAAAGCTCAGAAACCAATGTTCCTTTCCTCAGCTGGTTAAATAATTGAGTCATTACTGTTTGTGAATTTTCAGTGTAAATATGCACACAAGTACACACTATTTGTTTGTGCATAGTTGGCCTCACACAGATGACTGAGATTGCAAAAGAAAATCCTAATAATATTCCAACCTATACTTAACTTAAGGGGTGGGCATATTCTTTCTTCAGCAATAGCAGCATTGCTGTTGTTTATATTTGCCCAAGGTAGCAAGAGAGAAACTTTGGTAAAGGCTATACCTTAACCATTTATGTGCTTGTGCACACATTCATGTGTAATTACATCAGTGTAGTGAAGACTGTAGTTTGCACATATGGCACAATCACACTACCTACCACATTCTTTAACATTCTTAACTTTCTCCCTAGTCCTGGCCGTTCTCCTGTGTCCTTTGATAGTGAAATAGTAATGATGAACCATGTATACAAAGAAAGATTTCCAAAGGTAAGAACCATTTTCATAAATTTATTTTTCAGTCCATTTATTGAGGCACTAAGAGCAGATTTCTGATACAAAGACATTCTTCAGTCTTCCAATTCTTAAGGAAAATGGCCCTGGTTATTTAAAATTAAAATTAAAAAACAGACCCCAATCATTTTTGCAATCAATATTGAATGAAATCAAACTTATATTGCATTTATACCGAAACTGTAGGTGTTATGTAAAAAATCTAGCAAAACACTGTCATCTTGCCCTCATATATGTGGGGAAACTTTTAAAGTTTTAATGACTTGTGATGCAAAACATTTGTTTTGTTTTAATGGTAAATATAAGCTCCTATCATGGTCTGCATCTGAAAGGGCCATATCTTTGGTGCCATGGTTGAGCTGGAAAGAAACAACACATACAGCACAGTAGAGACTGTTAAGTGCATTGTTGCATAATTTTTTTGTAGGCTGGAGCATTGTTTTGCTGTTTTAAATGTAGTTAAATTATTTTACTCCTTACAAAACACGTTCTGCCAGTTGCTTTGTAGACTATTTTGTGTGTATAGAAAAACATACATATCTAGGTTAATGTGTAAGGTAAAGATGAAGGGACCCCATGACGATTAAGTCCAGTCACGAACGACTCTGGGTTGCGGTGCTCATCTTGCTTTACAGGCTGAGGGCGCCAGCATTTGTCCGCTTCCGCAGACAGTTTTTTTGGGGTCATAATAATAATAATAATAATAATAATAATTTATTATTTGTACCCCGCCCATCTGGCTGGGTTTCCCCAGCCACTCTGGGCGGCTTCCAACAAAGATAAAAAATACACTAAAATGTCACATATTAAAAACTTCCCTGAACAGGGCTGCCTTCAGATGTCTTCTGAATGTCAGGTAGTTGTTTATCGCTTTGACATCTGATGGGAGGGCGTTCCACAGGACGGGCGCCACTACCGAGAAGGCCCTCTGCCTGGTTCCCTGTAACTTGACCTCTCGTAGTGAGGGAACCGCCAGAAGGCCCTCGGAGCTGGACCTCAGTGTCCGGGCAGAACGATGGGGGTGGAGACGCTCCTTCAGATATACTGGACCAAGGCCATTTAGGGCTTTAAAGGTCAGCACCAACACTTTGAATTGTGCTCGGAAACTTACTGGGAGCCAATATAGGTCTTTCAAGACCGGTGTTATATGGTCTCGGCGGCCGCACCCAGTCACCAGTCTAGCTGCCGCATTCTGGATTAGTTGTAGTTTCCGGGTCACCTTCAAAGGTAGCCCCACGTAGAGCGCATTGCAGTAGTCCAAGCGGGAGATAACCAGAGCATGTACCACTCTGGCGAGACAGTCCGCAGGCAGATAGGGTCTCAGCCTACGTACCAGATTGAGCTGGTAAACAGCTGCCCTGGATACAGATTTGACCTGTGCCTCCATGGACAGCTGTGAGTCCAAAATGACTCCCAGGCTGCGTACCTGGTCCTTCAGGGGCACAGTTACCCCATTCAGGACCAGGGAATCCTCCACACCTGCCCGCCTCCTGTCCCCCAAAAACAGTACTTCTGTCTTGTCGGGATTCAACCTCAATCTGTTAGCCGCCATCCATCCTCCAACCGCCTCCAGGCACTCACACAGGACCTTCACCGCCTTCACTGGTTCTGATTTAAAAGAGAGGTAGAGCTGGGTATCATCCGCATACTGATGAACACCCAGCCCAAACCTCCTGATGATCTCTCCCAGTGGCTGCATGTAAATGTTGAAAAGCATGGGGGAGAGGACAGAGCCCTGAGGCACCCCACAAGTGAGGGCCCAGGGGTCTGAACACTCATCCCCCACCACCACTTTCTGAACACGGCCCAGGAGGAAGGAGCGGAACCACTGTATGACAGTGCCCCCAGCTCCCAGCCCCTCAAGACGGTTCAGAAGGATGTTATGGTCGATGGTATCAAACGCCGCTGAGAGATCCAGCAGAACTAGGAAACAGCTCTCACCTTTGTCCCTAGCCCGCCGGAGATCATCAACCAGTGCGACCAAGGCAGTTTCAGTCCCATGATGAGGCCTGAATCCCGACTGGAAGGGATCCAAATGGTCCACTTCTTCCAGGCGTGCCTGGAGTTGTTCAGCAACCACTCGCTCAATCACCTTGCCCAAGAATGGAAGATTTGAGACTGGGCGATAATTGGCCATCGTGGCCGCATCTAAAGATGGTTTTTTAAGAAGCGGTTTAATAACCGCCTCTTTCAGCGGGTCTGGGAAGGCTCCCTCACGGAGGGAAGCATTCACCACCCCACGAAGCCCATCGCCCAGTCCTTCCCGGCTAGCCTGACTGAGCCGCTTCTGGAAAAACCAGAGCAGCGCATGGAAACGCCGTTTACCTTCCCACCGGAGTGGTACCTATTTATCTACTTGCACTGCGTGCTTTCAAACTGCTAGGTTGGCAGGAGCTGGGACAGAGCAACTGGAGCTCACCCCGTCGTGGGGATTCAAACCACTGACCTATCGATCGGCAAGCCCAAGCGGCACAGTGGTTTAACCCACAGCGCCACCCGCGTCCCAGGTCAATGTATAAGATAAACAAATTGCAGGAGGGTCTTACCATTTTGTGGCTTTATGGACATCATCCTTCCTAGGAAGGATGTATGGAGCCAACCACACATTCGTAGGACATTCATTAATTAGAACTTAAAGTGGTATTCAACCACTTGGAGTGGATTTGTTGACATTAATGAACACGACCAAGTTATCCATTACTTTCAGTGGGTCTACTCTGTGTAAAACGTAGTTGAATACCACCCATAGTTTTTCTACTGAGGACAAATAGCAACTTTGGGGAGATAGAGATGAGGGGGAAGGCTAAACTTCCCTCTTCCTCTTTATGAAAAAAACACACCCCACTTCCTACTTTCACAGCTGCTGCTCTGATCGAAATCAAGGCATGGTTATATTGAAGTAAAAACATCTAAAGGGCCAAATTACGCATTGTGAAAGCTTCCATTTCATCTCCTCCACCTAATATGTAGTTTAGCCTGTGTATTTCAACCAGTTTTACACCTAGGGTGTTCTAGTTTACTTGAAATTTATTTGTGTGTGTTCTAAATTAGTACACCTTTCACCTAGAAATTGCTTCAACTTCATGACACTGAAGCATTCAAATTAGGAATGGTGGTGATGGAGGACAACGCTTGTTCATTCTCTGTAGCCAAAATTCCTAAACATTCAAACAAAACCCATGAGTTAGATTTGATATGTTTACTTCAGTTCAAATGTAGATATTTTCGTAGCAAAATGCCTGTAACTATTCTTCTACATTGTTTAGGCCACAGCCCAGATGGAGGAACGGCTGGCTGAGTTTATTGCATCCAGCGCACCAGAGAATGTGCTACAGCTAGCAGATGGGGTCCTAAGTTTCATTCACCATCAAGTTATTGAATTAGCCAGAGACTGCTTGGATAAATCACGTGAAGGACTTATTACTTCTCGGTACTTTTATGAGTTGCAGGAAAACCTTGAGAAGCTCCTACAAGATGTAAGTATTTAATTCACAGGCTATCAGCTTCAGCCTGCCTTGCTGTAACCTGAAATAATTCACATGGCAACCCTCCACATAGTGCAGGCTACATCCACAAAGCACAGGGGTAAACAGGATGCACCATACAGGTGCTTCAGAGCAACACCCCACCCCAGTTAATTCAAGCCACAGTCCATCTAAATGGAGAAGAAAACGTTTGCTTCATTCAAATAGTGAGAGGATTATTTATACCTAATGTGTGAAATTCAATTTATCTGTTAGATTTAAGTAGCTTTTGATGTTATGGTTTTGTTTTGTTTTGTATTTAAATTGTTTATATTTTAACTATCGGAGGCACCCAGTGAATATTATGTAATGAGGTGTTGTGCCATAAATAAATGAGTAGAATTTACCACATTTATCCAGATCTATATTTATTAACCTCCCTTTGTTTCTGAACTGTCCTTCTACAGGGGGAGCCAATGAGATTTGAGTTGTCAGGGGGAGCTGTTACTTGTTACCTCTCCCCCCCCCCCAAATTGGCCACCTCTACAAAAGAAGGCATGAAGATTAGGTAGTGGGAAGAAATATATTTGGGATAAATGTTAATGTACCTGAAAGAAGCAGGATAAAGGAGAGTCTGTAGGATTCCTGTTACAAAGAAAAGCGAGACACTCCTATTTTCCCTCCTCTTCTTTCTTTGCTCTAAAAATACTGGCCTCCAAGTTTATTATGTACATACCCTCCTGCATAGTCTACCTTCTGTTATGACTGGATACATCCCATATTTCTCATAACAAAGTCTCTGTTTATCACAAACTCAGGGTTTATTTTAAACCAGTCAATTGTAGAAAGAATCAGCCATGTAGGTGTACTATATTCTTGGTTGAAGATGTAGAAATACAGTCCAATTAGGCACTCTTAATTTGTAGGTCTCATTGAAAGTCCTAAACATATGCTGAAATCAGTCATAGATGAAAGCACTTGATTGTGGTGGGACCGCATCTAGCGTTTGTAAAATCTCCCAAACACCATTTACTACAAATGGAAATGTTGGACTACAACTCCTATCATCTCTGACCATGCTGGCTGGAATTAATGTGAGCTGGAGTCTGACAAAATCTGGGGAGGGGGGTCATGAGTTCTCAAGCCCTGCTTGATTTAGACTGAACAGTTAACCTTTTCTTCTAAAACTGTATTGTTATATAGGATTTATTTGAAAGTTTGGGGAAATGCGACTAGAATTTGATTATATTTTATGAAAACACATGAGTCAGAATTTTGGAAACAAATACTTACTATATATGCATTGAAATTAGCTTTGTTAACTGAAGGATAATAAAAATTGAGAATTAAGAAAAGTAATAACCTTCCCACTGAATTACTAGAAAGCATGAAATGCATACACATTTGGCTTTGAAAACAAACAAAGAAGAAACAATTGAAAAACTTGTAGATACAGCAAAGCCGCAGAGGTGTTAGTAAGTTTATATTAGTAGTTGCTTGTGTTGCCCACTTAACCTGAAATCCCGATTAAAGTTGCTGTTCTTAATAGGGTTTAAGTGCATTGGTTCTTGTATGGCTGGCTTGATCTATATCAGTATATTAGCTCAATTACAGAGTTGTGACTTGAATATCACTGCTGTTGGTCCTGCTAAACCCCAGGGGAGGACAGTGATTTTAATTTCATGCCCCAGTGGCTCCAGTTAGTGACGGATGAGTCTTTCAGATAAGGGAATCACTTTGTAAATTGCCCATTGCTACCTCCAGTACATATGTCACTGGAAATGACTTCGTTTCTATAAACAAATGACACAAGCTTCAGCCCATAGTCCTTGTGGTTACCCCACCCCCTTCCCTCAAGGAGGCGGGGGGACCTGAAATGACACCCGCAACCTTCAGACAAGCATGTTGTCATTGGGAACTGCTAATTAGATGGCATGCATCATACCAAGGGAAGGGAGGCAAACGATAGGCAGTTGTTTGGCATATAACCTATTCACTGAAGATGCAATAAAAGTGGGATGTCTTCTAAACAAGACATTTGGAGAGATGTCGAGGCTATTGTGTGAAATACGGAAACAAGAAACAACGATTTTACTAAGGACTCTGGAGCTGCAGCACTGTGCAGATATCATGGCTGAGTGGCTGCTACAAGTTGTGTTCATTTTTGTGTTTATGTAATCTTGTTTCTAACTGTTGTGTTTTTAATTTCTACATAGCTTAACTTTTCAATACTCAGAGCAAATTACAAGTTGTAGTAAAACTTTCAATCTAATTCTAGATATAGCAGTTTTTAAAGTTGCTGAACGTTTTTATTAACGTAAATGGACATGATCGCATGGCAAACTTCTTAAAATCTGTTTTAAATAAAGCTAGTCCTTGTTGGTCTATGAAAATTGTTTTCAGTATTTAAAACATTGGTTTCCTTTCTGAATAATCATACTACCTCATATTATGTTTCAATGAGTTTATATATTAGGAGGTATGGTTTTTTAAAACTTTTTTTTTTACAAAATCCAAACTAAATCAGTTAAAGGAATTGTACAGTTACAATTCCTTTAATTACAAATTCTGAAATACTTGGCATTGCAATATGTATCTATATATTGCGTTAGTTTAAGAGATTTGAAATCTTTCCTGTGACATGTTGAGTGAAGGGCTTATGTACTGTGCATGCATACTCTAAACAGATATTGTAAGCAGAATTAGATCCAAATTTGTAAACAGAATTATATACCAAACAGTCATTCTAATATGTGAGCCAAATTAAGTAGTTGGTAATTTCCCCATAAACAACAGGGTGTGTATGTCTCTTCTTAAATGCATACAGTGGTCTCTGTTTGCAGTTTGTGCCAATCTTATTTTTCCACATTCCTTAGTGATGCCAGTGCTTTCTTACTACTTGCCAGTGTATGAATTTTCATTTCTTTTCAGTGAATGTTAGCAAGCAATTTCTTTGTTGCTGGTAGTTACCTGCACATTTCTTGATTAAATGCTTGTGCCTGCAAGCTGCTAAAAAGCTCAGGTTATTTTTATTTTATTTTTGTCCCCCATATGGTCTTTGAAACCTGTTTCTGAGTATTATTTATCATTCCAGTGAACATACCTGTAGTTGTGTTTAATTTCTCTGAAATACTATGAGCTTGAAGAGTGAACTATGTCTTACATGTTCTTTGTATAGCTATTATTGTATTGAGCTAGGGTGATGAAAAAAAATATTCTTTTCTTTTCTTGTAAAATGTGCACAGAAGATTTAGTGGGCCAACAAAATGCTGACTGTCCCAGTGTTTGAATATTATGTCATCAATCAACAAATAAAAACATTCAACTGAACCAGTCCATGTGGCTTTATAATGTATAGATACTATTTGTACTATGACATTAATAATAAAATATTGATGGCATTCTGCACGCAACTCTATAGACACCTTGTTCAGCTTACTATTTCCTTTTGGGCCTATTTTTGTGTGCACTGCAGTTTGTTTAATGTCTTCATGGAAGAATTATAAAATAGAGTATCTTTGAGAGTGGAAGTGAAAAAAACAACACAAAGAAAAGTCAATGTCAAGTAAATCTTGAAATAAAAACCTATTTTGGCGTAGAAAAAAAATTCAATGTATAATTAATTAACACACTTTTTTGAAAGAAAGATAACCCTTTAAAAAGTTTCCAGTGAGTTTACTGTGAATAAACCTTCTGCAATATTGTTTGTGAATTGGCAGAGAATATTTTAGTGTCAAAACTTTGGCAACACAGAACTTGAAAAAAGGAAAAGGCTGCCTTTCTTCTATCATGCCTTCAGTGAATTATAGCTAAATAGCTGATGATAGCTACTGTACTTGATTTATGAGGGACCAATTCTTTGTTTAAACCATGATGTGACATCCTTTCCACAGGCTCACGAGCGCTCAGAGAGCTCAGAAGTGGCATTTGTTACCCAGTTGGTGAAGAAGTTGATGATAATCATTGCACGGCCAGCACGATTGCTAGAATGTCTGGTAAGTAAAAAGCGTTTTTTAGGAGGTGTAGCAATATATTGTTTGATGACTATGAAATGTAATTCCAGTGGAATCTTAACAGATTTTACCAACTGATAATGCATACAACAAGATAGGCTCTGAAAGAGCATACATTAGGAAAGACTTGGTGATTCTGTGAGAAGTACATAGTACACTGGCTATTACGTTGTTTTAAGTGTTTCTCTGCAGAATAGACCTTACCAGTTTTTAAGTAGTCATTATGCACAGGTAATGATAATAGATGCAGACTAGAAGACCGTGCAATGACTCTTCATGTCCAGCAGGAGATTTGACTGTTCTCTCCTGGAACAGCATCATGGCAAGTCACTTTGGATAACATGGGTAATTCCAAGCATGTGTTACGCTGTGGCCTTGGAGAAGCTGTTTAGGATGAGAAACTGCAAGTTTTGGAATGTATTGCAAATTTATGCATGCACATAAAGGGTCTCTGTAGGTTGTGGATCATGCCCATAGAAGCATGGTGATACAGGAAAACTTGCTAAGTTTCACAACAGATACCAACTGTGCCAACTAGTTTCATTGTTAGGAATTTTTTTCTTAAAAAAAATCCTTGTACAACATGTAGCAACATTAATTAATTAAGCACCTTAGAAATCTACAGTGCCCTTATAGTCCAATTGCAGTCTTTAAAATGCAGTATATTTCATACTTAAAAGATTCCCTTGCCAGGTGCAATTCTTTAAGGAAGCAGACTCCAGATGTTTGCTAGACATGTTTCCCACTGCATGCCGGCTCCTACCATACTTAGGCAATGGTTGCAATATTAAATGTAAGTAATGGCTGTAGTTTAGCTGAGTTGATAAGCTTACGCAGTTAACAATATGTGCAGTTCTGCTAAAATGGGGTGCTTGAACTGAAGCAGTTAAAATCAGCTCTGGGCCTGCAGACTCCCAGGTGAGGTGGCAATCAACAGGGCACTTACATGCAACAGTGGGGGAAGTTATGGGCAAGTAGGGCAAGTATTCATCTGTGGTGAGTGTGTCCCCAAGTAGTTTCTGGGGAATCATCAGTTAATGCAGTTTATACTGCCTTAAGGTCCTCTGTCTGATGAATGTTGTAGCAGTGATCATTGTCTTCCATATTCGACACATAATAAGAAAGAACATTATGTTTGTTTAGCTATGATGCCATTGTACTTGTTGGGCCTTTTCTCTCATCTGAAATTTTATTTGTTTATTGATGTTTATGTTTGATACATGTGAGTAATGGTAACAATGCTTGCTGACTCCCAACTGCGGGCTTTGAATAGTAGACAACCATTTCATATTGCAGACTGTCGTATGGAGGACTGCTGTGTATTTGCCAAAAGTCGTCTTGGTGCATGGAATTTATTTATTTCATTTATAGCCCACCTGTCTGCCAGTTTACAAATCTTTGGATCCTGACTACATTATTTGAACAGAGCTATATCTATATCTATCTATATATCTATATCTATCTATATATCTATATCTATATGTATATCGATATATCTATATCTATATATATCTATATATAGATAGATATAATTTTTATTAGTTTTCAATTACAAAAAATCTAATGTATGTCACATTATATCCATGCCAATGATCACAGCTATATCTAAGTATCCTATTTAACTAATAATGAACTGTGTTCATTTGCTGTAGAAAAAATAAAGCATTGTTTACTTGATTAAACATTCGGGGGAAAGTGCACTATCAGAGTAATACATGTGGAACAAAATGTAATGCATTTCTTCAAAAAGTTGGTCACTATGATGTGTTCATATCATGGTGCTTGTTTGTGAAGTCCATCTGAAAAGTGATATTTAAATACCATAAACAAATAAATAATTGTTCTTCTGCAATTTGATTCCCCCCCCCCAATGTCTAAACAAGGTTGCTTCTGGAAGGTTCTTAATTGGACTGGTCTTTAGTTAAAATTAGGTGATAAGGTTTGCAGTGTGTACCAGTTTCCCTCATCCTTTTGAAAAGAGAATGGAAGCAGGTGTATTCAGTAACATCTCAGAGATCTGAGTAATAAATTCCAAAGGCTGTTGTGACAGTCATGTAAATAATGTGGCAAGATCCCAGATTATAAAGTACAGGACGTTTCTAATTTAGCTGTTGCTCTAATATCCAACCTCTCTTATATATCCATAATTTTTGTGGCTTACTTTACTATACCATGTAGTCCTAGTGATAGTTTCACATTATCTATTATGAATATAAAATTTAGTAGTAGGTGTCTTACTCTCAGTACTATTGATTTCTTGTAACAAAACAGCTTCTGGTTTTATTTGCCTTAACTTTATGAGCACCGTAGACAGATAGATGAACTATTAAATGCCCAGAATTGATTACTTCAGGTTGTTTCCTACAAAAGATACACTATCAGCAATGTGATTGACTTCCAAGATAAAATTACTGAGCATATTAATCATTTACTTGTGCACTTCTAAAAGCAGTGTTTTTTAATATGGGCATTTTAAATTTGCACAAATCTGCTTGATTAATCTTTTCATTCCATCTTTGATTTTTGTCAACTACTCACTTTATTCTGATATACTGTATTGTCATTTTTCTTCATCCTCAGATATCTTTTCTCATCACTGAATCTTGGGTTATGGGATTTATACATAGACTCCTAGTATTGCACTGTATATTATGTCCTAACAGTCCTTTTATGGGTTTTGTGCACCACCCTTCTTTCTTGTTGGCTTATGCTTTCAGATTAAACACTGCACTTTGAGGTCTATCCACATTTCTCAGTGGATAGAGCACTGCTAAAGATGGGCCTGGAATAAAATCCCATCTCAGCCTGCTACACTTCCTGCAAAGGCTTGGACAAGTTACTTTTATGTAACTGTTCCCCATCCACAGAATGGAAATAAAAGGGCTTGTTTTGTCTCTTTCCTTTCTAATTATTGGGAATAGGGTGATATGATTATGAAAAGATAAAATGTCAAGCTCACATTATTTGCTCTCCCTGCTTATTATGCTAGGCAATACTCGATGTGATGTTATAATTCTGATGTGTATAATCGCTTCTTCCTCCTGCCCCTTTTCTGTGTTGCCTTAAATTTTCCAAAGTAAAAAAATCACAGTAATCCCCAATAATCATTGACTGGGGTTGTTTTTTTACACAAGGCAATAGACAGTCTTATTGCTGTGCATGTTGTACCAGTGTGAGATGAGCTGTTGGCTGCTGAATCCAGTTCATAACTTGAATGTAGAAGGACCCACATGTTTAAAGTGTTTGTAAATGGCGTCTTTATTCTTATCATTCTTAAAATATCTCGCCACCCAGAGTTATAGTCTTTTGCTTTGGGAACCGAATTAACCTCTTGTATTCTTGTGCTTTAGGAGTTTGATCCTGAAGAGTTCTACCATCTGCTAGAAGCTGCTGAAGGCCATGCCAAGGAAGGAGAAGGAATTAAATGTGACATCCCTCGTTATATTATTTGCCAGCTGGGACTCACCAGGGATCCCCTGGAGGGTGAGGACTTTCACTTTGCTTTCTTAGGACTATGTAGAACACAAGAAGGTTAAGAAACAAAAGCCCTCCTTGTTACCTCCAGTGCAATCCTATGCATGTCTGCTCAGAAGTAAGTTCCACTGAGTTCAATGGAACTTACTTCCGCGTTTGTGAGTATCATATTGCAAGCTTAGTCTGAGGGCTGATTCACACATTAAGAAATACAGTGGTTGTGTATTAAGTGTGAGAGGTAAACTGCTTTTTTAAAAAAATTGTTTATATACAGTAATTACATAGTGAGTGAGAGCTACAGCTATCACCAGGTGCCCACAAAGTATTTCAAAAGGTGGTTTCCTTTGCGGGGTGCATGCAGTGTACACAGTAACATAATGTGTGGCGTGGCCCTGGGTGGCACATCTCTGACTGACGTATTTTCCATCTTCAGCATTCAGTGCTCTCCAGCTTCCAGGTAAATGGTGACTTTTCTGATGTACTCATCAGAATCTTTGAGATGAAATGGACACTTTTGTAAAATTGTGAAATTATCGCTTTAACCCTAAATAAACACACACGTTGCAATTAGTTTGTTCAAATGTTCTGGAGAAACTTTTGATTAAAGAATCCTGCTATGAAAAAATATCATGAACCACCACCTTCTTCCACCTGACGCCTTCAGATTTTGGCCACATACTCTTGAGTATGGAGAACTGTGTGTCTTAGCTTGCATGTGGGTGAAGAAACTAGGTATGTGATCACCATATTGCATACTATTATATCCTAAGAGTGTGCATTTCTGGTTTTCCCCCAGAAATGGCCCAGCTGAACAGCTTTGATAGTCCAGACACTCCAGAGACAGATGATTCTACTGAGGGAAAGGTACTGAGTTAAAGGATCACTTTTAATCATATAATAGCAGGTCTGTAATAAAGCCATTCTGTGTTAATAGGGTATTATTAAAGTCTAAATTGTGCATGGATATAATCATTTCTGTTCATGAAGAATACCTGAATGCTCTATATTTAAAAAGGAGATTAAAATTTTAAACTCTTCTACCGCCCCGGCCCCCAATGCATGGCCATACATGAAACAGTAAGAATTGCTCCAGTCTTTCTCTGGATAATATCAGTAAAGAGCTACAAAAGTGTATGTTAAATTGTTGAGATAAAACAGGTAGAACAAAGTTTAAGAATAGAGATTTTAGACGCACAATGAAACCATTTAAAGACACTTCCAAAGCAGATTTGGTTGTGATTGGCTTTAGACTTAAATAGATGTATTTTTAAAAGATTAACATTAAAAGGATAGTGAAAAGTATTTCTGGTGTTTTCAGAGTCGGGGAGCCACTGTGCAAGCCAAGAAAACTCCATCTGAAGAGGAATTTGAAACAATTAAGCTAATCAGCAATGGTGCATATGGGTAAGGATATAAGATTATGTCTAGCCATTAAAAGAAATTCATTTGAAGTCTAACCGTGAGTCATAAATGACAATGATGCAGGAGATCTGTAGCTATAGCTCCTGATATTTGTACTTTAAACCCACTGCTGGGGGAAGGTAAGTTTGTCAGATTTGATTGAAACCATGCGTCCCCTCTGTGCTGTTTTCGTGATCTCTTTGTGCTATCTCCAGAGTAGAAGCACATTCAGTGCCCCCACAACTGCTTTAAAGTTAACCAAACATGTTTGCAGATCCCATATTGCACCTGTTTCAGCTCAAACATTGAGAAGTTCCACTACTCTTTATTCCCTGTGGCCCTGAATAAAATAGGGGGAAGTATGAAATTAATTTTGATCACTAAATTTGGGAATGGGGGGACATGTCCAACAGTTTTCTTTGAAACTTTTCTATTTTATTTTATTTTTTACTTGGTAAGATTTTAAAAGATTTCATACATATTTGCATTCTAAAGGACTGGAGATGAGTTGATCAGCTACTCTTGTTATACTGTGCTGATAATTCCCACCCCCCCAGTTACTTGTGAAATATTCTGTATGTAGTATGACACAGTAGTCTCTCTGAAAGAAAAGGAAATTGGCCTGATTATTCAAAAGAATTGGAAAATGTTGATATTAGTGCACAGGCAGATAATGATATAATGATAAGCATGAAAATAATATTTGATTATAGAAGTCCTGTTTCTAATAGATGAACATTACACAGAGATCAGACAGAAACTATGACTTGTTGCGCTCACCCATTATTAATTTGAGGCAGAACTGAGATCTTATCAATATATTTATCATTGCAGAAGGAGCAGGGCAAGAAAAATTAGTTGTTCCTTGTGCTTCATTTTCTGTTTCTTCATATCTTTATCATCTAATCCAATAAGTGAATCCTGAATAAGAGAAGCAGGATTCAGAATTCCTGGAGTCTGCTTGTGGCAGCACTAATGCAGTGCAACTTTCTTGTCTCAGTGCAGTGTTCTTGGTGCGCCACAGAACTACCCGTCAGCGCTTTGCCATGAAGAAGATCAATAAGCAGAATCTCATTTTGAGGAACCAAATTCAACAAGCTTTTGTGGAAAGAGACATACTAACATTTGCAGAGAATCCCTTTGTTGTGAGCATGTTCTGCTCTTTCGAAACCAAGAGGCATCTATGCATGGTTATGGAGTATGTGGAAGGTATTGTTTCACCACCATAGAATTCATCTTGTCACAATAATGATCTTACATATTGACCAGAAAGTGGTAGAGAATTTTATATGTGCTGACTTGCATGGTGCTTTCCAGTATTCTCAAAAGTGTCCCATAGGTGCCATCTTAGAGGATGGAATAATAAATCCACTATGTGCCACAAAGGTTTTAACCTTGAGTGGAGATGGGCATTCTCTTGAGGTGGTCCTGTTCATCATGGACTAGTTTGCTCTTGAAACCATAGGCACTGTATCTGACTTAAGGGTCATGTGAAAGAGATAAGAAATTGGAGAATGTTCTTCACAGTGGAATGAATTGAATATACTCCTACACTATATTCTCTTCCGTAGGGAAACAGCCATGGAATTTGAGGCTGGCTAATGACTATAGTATTATCCATACAGAATTAAGTGTAATGACGCTTGGCAGAGTCTGTCACTTGAGGAATAATTAAAATTAGTCAAATATCTGCAATCAGTGTCCCCTTATTTCTTAGGTTTGCAGTTTTTGTAGTGTTCTAAAATTCCAAGTTGCGCAATATCCAGGAGGGGTTTTTACCTAACTAACTATATTTAATTTGAGAGTACTCACACGACAACTCACACTTATGCCTTTAAAACCCACAAGTGCACTCAAAGTGGAGCACTATCCAGACACTTTAGCTAGTGCAGAGAGAGGTTCTCACCCCTTCATAGACTGGGTTCCTAGGAGCATACAATGTCAGTCTTCTGTTGTCTGTATAAGTTTTCTTATTTGGGATGGTCAAAATTTTGACTTGCACAACTCTTGGTGGATTGGACCCCAGCATTCTTAGCAGAGGTTCATGTCTCTTTTTGATGAACCAGAAGTATCCTCATTGCTTTTTTGTGTGTAAAGTGCGAACAGAAAAGCTACTGCAAGTCTGTTGCTCCATTTCTGTGCTGCTCCTTGTTCTTTGGAGACTTGCTTTTTGTTTTGTTTTTAAGCACTGCAAGGTCTGTCATATTTTACCCAACAAGCACAGCTATTGTGGCTGGTGATGCCATGAGCACTACAGATCAGTCCTCCTCGTGTGCTTTCACTGTTGTGTATTACTATTTTGAAAAGTCTTTAGAAGCTAAGCCTGACATAGGATACCCATTGCTGTGGAGAGTGCTCACCTAAATGTAAATACATACACTACTACCTTCTCTCTAGCAGCAATACACCACTGTTTTTCTTTCACCCCTTTTCTTTTTTTGTGTACTTATGGGAACTGCTCCTCAGTAGTACACGTTCATACTGGGAAAAGGGTTACAAGCCCAAGACTTCAGAACATTATGCCAGAAGGCAGTGTATTGGAGCAAATCTTAGCCAGTATAAAGGAGGATATTATTAAAATGTTGCACTGGCATATTGCAGTCTCGTACCCATAGCCACCTACCTGAGAATAAACCTCATTGAACTCAATAGAACTTATTTCTGAATAGATGTGTATCTGATTTTGCTATAACAAGTTGCGTACATCAGATCTGGCTGACAGACAGTGACTTGACACAAATGTTTCTCATCTTTTTATGCTGTTTTTGTTTTTTTACCATGTTGTCTTAGGGGGTGATTGTGCAACTCTCTTGAAGAATATTGGAGCTTTACCTGTTGATATGGCAAGAATGTATTTTGCAGAAACTGTTCTGGCACTGGAATATCTCCACAATTATGGCATCGTCCACCGTGACCTAAAGCCTGACAAGTACGCTTTTAGCTTCTCATGTTTGGACCTGTAGTCGCAGCTGTCCATGCTAAAAATAGTTATAGGAACGATGTGTGCCATTTCCCCCCCTGCAAGGGCAAGTTTTTATTATTATAATGTTCTTGTTACTGAGCTCTTTCTTTACAGATGTCATTCTGTGCTTTTATTAGTGAAATATATTTGAAATATATTTAGGCAATTCATGATTGCCTAAATTTGAAGTGAGAGTTAGATTTTAAATATAACAAAGTGGGGGGTCCCATTGTCCCTGTGCAGTGAGAAGTGCCTATACTTTAATAGCTGCTAAAAATGCAGACAGGGCACAACTTTATAGCAGATATCTTGGCTCAAACTTTAATTTTAAATGTTTGTGTACAAAGTTGCTCAGAACTGAATCAGTAAGACATTAAAATGTTGCTGATCACTTTCATGCCCAGCTAAAGATACTCATGCTGATCTTTACAGTCCTGTGTAGCCTGAAAGTCATCACATTGAGATCAGTACGAGAAGCCCTGATCAGTGTTTCCTCGCTTAAGAGCGTGCCTTCATTGTGGAAAAGAGTATATCTGTAGAATTCTCTGCCTGTGGCAGTTTGCCTCTATACTATGTGGCAGTCAAGACTATAAATTAAGGACATTTTATCAAGTGTTTTGGTAGATCATAAATAGTATAACATTGTATAAAACTTTAGTTTGCTTTACTTTTCAGTAACACTTACCTATTTTTGCTTCAGTCTTCTCATAACATCGATGGGTCACATCAAGCTGACAGACTTCGGCCTCTCTAAAATTGGCTTAATGAGCTTGACAACCAACCTATATGAAGGACACATTGAGAAAGATGCCAGAGAATTCTTGGATAAGCAGGTACTTTGAAGTTTTCTTTTTGAAACATCTATAAATAACGGCACATGCTGTTCTTTAAGGAAGCCAGTAGCAAGTATGTGCCCTGCAGGTTTTGTGACACGTATCTCTTTGATCCACAGGTGATATAATAAAATCCATATTTATTAAAGATCCCTAAGTATAGGGCAGTTACAGATACAGTTCCATTTGGACTGCAAAGCTACATTCATGCTGATGACCCTTGTGTACATCTTTGAACATTTGAAAGTTAAAAATCCTTATATAATTTGTTCAAAGCCGTGGCACTATTGGACTTCTTAATGAAATAAAACAGAAATATGAGTTGTCTTCATGGATGCATTTTATTTATGAAGAAAGCTTCAACTATAAAAGGACAAAAGTTTTGTTTTTAAAATCTTTTGAACCGTCTCAGGATAATTGCAGTAACTTTGTAACTCCTAATTGGCTTTGGTGTGGGGTTTTAAGTTTGCTAATATGAAGTTCCATTCTCTGGGATGCTTCCAGTAGGAAAGATAAACTTCATTCATGAGTTATGTGGAACAAGAGTGATTTTGAATGCAATAGTTCATTTAACCCCCCCCCCCCTCTTGTTCAGGTGTGTGGGACTCCAGAATACATTGCTCCAGAAGTGATCTTGCGGCAGGGTTATGGAAAGCCTGTGGATTGGTGGGCCATGGGAGTAATCTTGTATGAGTTTCTAGTTGGCTGCGTTCCTTTTTTTGGCGACACACCGGAAGAATTATTTGGACAAGTTATCCATGGTATGTGTCCTACCTTTATAAGCAAAAAGTGTTGTCTCCCTGTATTTGGCTCCAAGCCTACTTATTTGGCTCAGGAGGTGTTGGGAAGTTCCACTGACCCTGCAGGAACAGCTTTTGTAGGGCACAGAAAGCTGCATCTTTGTAGGGGGCAGAGAAGGCAATAAAAGTCTCATTCCTTGAGCAGAATACTGCATTTTTCTATTCTAATCCTATCAAACTAATTTATATAGATGAAATTGCTTGGCCAGAAGGAGATGATGCTTTACCACTAGATGCGCAGGACCTCATCGGTAAACTTCTCCGACAAAATCCTATGGAAAGGCTGGGAACAGGTACAAACTCATTTTTATCAAAACGGTTGTGGGAAACTCTGAAATACAACCCGCAAACCTGCTAATTGCAAGGGGGGAGTATGGTGACCATGCAGTTAACCTTCTCAGTGATCTGCTGTTTCCTCAGTCTTTGGCAGAATGGCCATTAAAAGTGCATAGGGTTCTGCAGCAGAAATATGTCCTTACAAATGGGGAGCAAGAGCTGAATGGTGCAATTTCTCCCCCATTCCCTGACTTGTTCCCATCATAGCAATTGGGTCTTGCAGTTGAGCTCTACTTTGTTCTAACAGTAGACTGATGTTTAAACATTTTTCGAAGGGTAGACTTACTGGCTTCATTTACTATGACATGGTTTAAGAATTCCTAACAATGTTGTCATTTCAGGGAGTGCTTTTGAGGTGAAGCAACACAGATTCTTCAAGGATTTGGACTGGAATGGATTACTCCGACAAAAGGCAGAATTTATTCCACAGTTAGAATCGGAAGATGACACAAGCTACTTTGACAGTAAGGGGGAAAAGTTGACTGTTAACTGTAGATGATTTTCAGTATTATTGTTAATATTGTGTATTAAGATGTGCACGTGAGTAGCTTGCAAACCTGTTAATGAAAGGGAGTTATGAGCATATTTTGAGCTTTCAGACAAAACCCATTCAAACTTCTGATTCAGAAATCACTCATACAGCCTCATACTGCATTACGCCTTGCAAAAAATGTCATTGTGGGATTCCAATGTAATGTTCAGAAGTCTGAGTTATATTAAGGTTCTTCTGCATTGTGCAGATAAACTCATGATAAGCTTTTAGTTGGATTGGATTTGAAAGTAAAACTTGGTGCATTGTAAGTTGGTGTTATATGAGGAAATGAAGTAGTAACAGGGAGAATGCTATAAAATAGGCAAGACCACTAAGGATGATCTGTTGCACATACTGATCTATAAAGTTTGCACTAAACTACTCATAGTAAAATAAAAGACAATTTGTAGACTATTGTAGAGAGAGCTTCGAATTTGAGAAAGCTGACAAAAGGCCTTGAGAAGTCTGCCTTACCCAGATACAGTGGTGCCCCGCAAGACGAATGCCTCGCAAGATGAAAAACCCGCTAGACGAAAGGGTTTTCCGTTTCGGAGGCGCTTCGCAAGACGAATTTCCCTATGGGCTTGCTTCGCAAGACGAAAACGTCTTGCGAGTCTCGCCCTTCCCCCCCCGCTCCCCCCTTTTCAAAGCCGCTAAGCCGTTAATAGCCTTTTAACAGCTTAGCCGCTAAGCCTTTAATAGCCGCTAAATCGCTAATAGCGCTAATCCCCTTAGCCGCTAATGGGCTTGCTTCGCAAGACGAAAAAACCGCTAGAACGGATTCTTTTCGTCTTGCGAGGCACCACTGTACAGGTTTTCTTTCAAACTAAGCCTCCCAGATAGGAATTGTCATTTCTGTCTCCTATACAGCATGCAGCTGGTGTTGAGGCCAACTATAATCAATATGCACCTGAAAAGGTGGATTCTATTTGCTTCTGCAGCACAGCATGTGCATCAAGCAGCTCAATTAAGTATTTTGGTTTGTTGTTTTGAGATGTCAGTTTCAAAATTAGAATTTAAAATTAGACTAATTGTCATTCTGTCTTGCTAGCCCATTGCTCCTTATATGCAATGATTAAGTTCCATCATGGCTATGAAAACTACCAATTACAATTGAATTGGTTTCTGCTAAGAAAAGTTATCACTTTTCAGTCCCACCGTTCTGTTGTCAAGATGCGTTGAGTACATTTATTGTCTCAGCTACTTGAGGATGTGAATATTAGTGCAGCTAACAGACAATCTGTTGTTTACTCAGCAAGTGTGACAGAAGTATAACAGTAAAAGTAGCTTCAGTTGCTCTTGCTGTAGCAAAACTATATTAAAAGTAATTTGAATGTTCACAGCCAGGCTAACAGGATTTCTACAACCATGATGTTAATAATTGAAACTCCGCCTTTTTATTGTTATGGTGGACTGACAGGAGAACTGCCTGAATCTTTGGTTTTAAAAGTTTGAAAGAGCTGTACTTTTGTAATTCGTTTTGATAACTTTGTGTACCTTATGGCCAGGAGAAATGAAAATTTGATGGTGAAAGAAAAAAATGACTGCTATCTAAGAATCAAGCCAAATTATATTCCACTTGTATAATTGATGAATCTCAGGAAAGTCCCTGATCTCAAGTAGGATATTTATTTGTAAATCCCAAGAGTGCCAACTGTTCCTTGCCTGTTGAATACATGACCTCAATTTTGTGTTCTCGTTTGCAGCTCGCACCGAGCGATATCAGCATTTAGATTCTGAGGAAGAGGATGACACGAATGACGATGATCATGTGGAACTTAGGCAGTTTTCCTCATGTTCACCAAGGTTTAGCAAGGTATATATTTTTAATAAATAGATGGGATTTGAACTCTATTGTGGTCAAAACAGTATGAACAGCTGTATGATCTCTATAACTTACATGGAAGCTAGGCTGTTTAGGAGGTACAGTGGTACCTTGGTGCTCAAATTTAATCCGTTCCAGAAGTCCGTTCCAAAACCAAAGCGTTTCTAAACCAAGGTGCACTTTCCCATATAAAGTAATGCAAAATGGATTAATCTGTTCCAGTCTTTTAAAAACAACCCCTAAAACAGCAATTTAACATGAATTTTACTATCTAATGAAACCATTGATCCATAAAATGAAAGCAATAAACAATGTACTGCAGTCACACAATCAGTCAATCAGTAGCTGAATTGGGTTCCACACAGTCACAAAAACAAAAGAGCCGTAAAAACAAAAACGCAAAATAAATAGCAAAACAGACAGAACTCAGAGTAACACTCAAAATGGAATCGTGGCGCTCAAAACGGAGCACATTCGGCTTCTGAAAAAAGTTCGCAAACTGGAACACTTACTTCCAGGTTTGCAGTTTTAGCTTCCAAGTTGTTTGAATACCAAGGTGTTTGAGAACCAAGGCACCACTGTAATTACTTCCCTGTACAAGAGCTGCCCATTTGTAAATGGACTCTGGGCCCAACAGAGTTCTGTGCTGTGATTGATGGGATTGAATTAACCACAGAGCAACATACCTGCTCTGTCAACTTTTGTGGGGGTAGGAACTTGTTAGAGATGACACACTTAAGCAGGCCTGTTTTGGGAATTATTTCAGTACAAGACTTTAGGAGGAAATTGAAAATTCGTAGCAGGATTTTCAGAAAAGGTCCTAGAACATGATGGTTGCTTAGTAATTAGCAATACTAATAGGCATGAGCAGAATGCCTGCGCCTTATGTCCTGCTCAAGGAGCTCTCTAGAAAAATCCAAATGGATTTTGAAATTTGACTTCTGAACCAGAATACTCAGTGATGAGGCACAAAATGAGGTACAGATGCAGTATTTGGGGGGACACAGTGCAAAACTGAGCTGATGGAGCCATGCCTGTGTCTTGAGCTCTGAAAAATAATACAGCATTCATCATGTGGGTGGCACGAAAGGCTCATTATAGTTTGAAAATGTTGTCTGACAATTCATCCAGATAATTTATTAATAGCTATCCTGTTGATGTTGTGAATTTTTAATAATGTTGTTTTCATCAGTCTCATATGCAAATCAGGTTCTCAGTTGAGTTCAGTCTTATAAACACAGATTTCTCTCTCTCTCCTGTTAACTGTTCAATGATTTAAAATGTCATTGTAAAGCAGTTGTTGAGGCATGATTGACTAAGCAAATTAGTCAGTAGGGTGTAGGATTTCTTTTTTTAAAAAATCTCTCTTGGTTAAGCTTGTACTACAGAATTTCTAGAAATAGATTATCTCTGGGGTTGGAAATCTTAACACCCTCACCATTAATTAAATTGGTGAAGCTTTGATTTCCAAAACCTCTGTTGCAAGCATAGAACTTAAAATCACTTTACAAAAATAACAGCAATTTGTGGGCACCTACATCTTTTTGTTGGCTTCAGCAGATAATTAAAGGACATTGCCAATTCCATCTTTTCAGTTTAAAAATTGGAATTCTGAAATATCCTGTGATTTAAAGAGTATATCAGTGACCGTTGTCATTCTAATATACAGTTTGATTGTACCTATAGGTGTACAGCAGTATGGAACGTCTTTCCATCCATGAAGAGAGGAAAACGCCGCCGCCTACCAAGCGTAGCCTGAGTGAGGAAAAAGATGACAGACTAGAAAGCCTTGGCCTGAAGTGTCGAGACCGCAGCTGGGTGATTGGGTCTCCTGAAATGTGAGCGTAACAAATGCTAGGTGTCCTTTACTTTTTCTCCCTGCCTCTGGATTAAAATAATGTTTGTGGGGGCAAAGAAGCAGTGTATGAACAGATAAACTTCATAATATGCTAATATTCCATGAAGCATTGCCAGACTTTTATCACAACAAATATAATGCAACGAGTTTTACTGTTAAGCAAAAAAGTATTTTGTGAGGGGTCTTAATCAACACAGTGCTCCCCAGATGTTGTGAGCCACAGCTCGTCTTATCTCTGACAGTTGACTGTGGTGGCTCAGGCTAATGGAAATTGTACTCCATATCATCTGAATGACAGACACCACGTTGGCTACCTTTTGTCTGAAAGGCATGCTCACATGAACATCCAAATAAAGTGCCAGTGTAGAGGTTTTTACAGTCATGTATTTAAAGAAATGTATTGGTACTTTTGATTATGCTGAATACCAATGTTCCCTTCTAATACACGTCTAAATTGTGGACTTGGTAGCTTAATATTTCAAGCTGCAATTCTGTATATTCTGCTTAAATCTCAGTGATAGTGGAAAGCAATATGCAGTTTCAGTAAATATTGTTTTTAAACTGCTCTCCAAAAAACTGTTCTATCAAAATAAAATGCCTTCACTCAACTACCAAAATGCTTAATTTGGTTGAAAGGAATGATTTCTTTAAAAGTAAGAGTGGGGAGGAAACATATATACAGCTATTGTGGCCATTAATCATGCCTTCCCCTTTTTTGATACTAAATGGAAAAACAGTAGTTTATGACTTGTACTCAATGCAAATAATTGCTTCACTTGGATCTTTCATTGGTAGTGCTATGTAGCATAGTGTCAAAGAGTATGAGGAATTACCGTAGCTGGTACGTTCCTGCTTCAAAATGTGACTTTTAGGCAAGTGAAACCATCTCCTAGCCTTACTGAGATAATGGAATATAGAGTACAACCCTCAAATCGTGCTATATCAATTCTTCTGCGATTGGTATATAAAATTTCTGTATAAAAGGTTTTAGATTTCTGAAAGCTTTATTTCTAAATATAATATCCACTTATACTTTGGTTTTGGTGTACTGAAAAATAGAAAGAAATGCAACCACAGCTACCTATATTGATAGGGAGCGTGGGGTGTTTGAGATTAAAAGTTTTGATAAATTGCCTAACATATTTGTGAAATTTGTGGCTTCAATAGTGGCTTTTTAGTCTTTTCAAATCATCTAATTTCAGTTCTGTCTTGACTGAAATACCATCACTTTGATTAACAAATCATAGCACCAAATTATCTTGCCTTTTTTATAAGCATGTCAAAGTTTGCTCCAACTAGATCGCTCATTCTTGACTTTTGCTTTATTATGCTTGTATATCATTAACAGTAGCTGCATCTTGAAATCACCAACTTCCTAAAAAATAAATTATCTGGGGTTTGTTTTGTTCTCTTCCCCCCAGACTGCGTAAACATCTCTCAGTGTCTGAATCCTCTCACACAGAGAGTGACTCCAGTCCACCTCTGACTGTCCGCCGGCGATGCTCTGGGCTTCTAGACATGCCCCGCTTTGCCATTTCAGCTGAGGAAGAAGGTAAAAAGAAACAGCTGGATGGGACGCAGCCACGGGAAAGCCACCCTCTTCCAATTCCAGAACAACCTGTGGAGCGAGAACTACAACTGGATGATGAGGATGGGTTAAAAACACCCTCTTCAACTGTCAGTAATATAAGCAGCTCAACACTGACAGGTATGTGCCTTTCAAGATGGAAGCATTGTCTCCGCTAGGTGCACTAAGCTTATTGTTATCTGGGCACGTCATTCTAAACATCTCCCTACACAATATGGGGTAGAAAGATTTTGCCTCCCTGGATGCTTCTGTTCTGTTAGGCCTCTATGCATAGGCGTCATATTGAACAGGGAGTATGTGCATAAATGTCACATAGATCTGAACAGTGTGGGTGATACCACACACACAGTCTGGGGATCAACAAAGCAATTTGGCACTACATGCACTGGATTTTACATTCATAAACCATATTCAGATGTTAACCCACACATAGATGTCCAGTGATCTCTCTGAGGTGATATAGATAGATCTGGGTGGCAGGAGTTGCAGTCTTGCTCACCTGTCGCAGGTAAGGAGATTGTTTCTCAAGAAGCTTGTTACAGTTCCACAGGGCCAACAGCTGGCTTCACTTTGGAACTGTAAAAAAGCTGGACTGCTTTTTTGTTGGGTCCATGTTAAAATATTAAAAGCTATCTCGTAATGCCTTCTATAATACAGAACATCTTGTTTAGAAGTAGCAAATAAACAGGTTGTGGTCTTTGTCCCCAACTTTTGTTGGTAGACTAACTGGTCTTCTTTTTTCATCATGTTGTTTGGATCTTTAATACCACCCCTCCCTCCAAAAAATCTCAGACTTCTGCTACTTCCAACGCAGTAGCAGAGTTAGCTTTATTCAGGGTGTTTGGGGTGAAGTTTCTTTGGCTTAATTATGTGTTTTTGTAGCAGAAGGAAAACATGGTAATTTTGTTGAGATTATAACACCCCTAGTTAAATGCATCTATAAATAAGGCTTCAGGGCTTGGGTTTGCTTCTGAGGAAAGTTCACTGTCGGGCTGTGTGTAAACATGACTTTGATTTCATATACGTGCCTGCAGGGGAACAGACTGTTAGAAATTCCCTATGGTTCTAATCTATTTTAATTGATACTGTAGCTGGAAGCACTACAGACTTCTCTGATCAGTGCACTCGCAGTAATAGCAACGAGGGCCCAGAGTTTACTACTCCTAAAGCCACAAGTGACTTGGCAGTGCGGCGAGCCCGACATAGGCTACTCTCTGGGGAGTCTGGGGAAAAACGGACCACACGTCCTGTTAATAAAGTGATTAAGTCAGCATCGGCCACAGCCCTCTCTCTCCTAATTCCTTCAGGTAAGATACGGAAAGAGTATTATTTGGGTGACTTGCTTAAAACCAGAGGACTTTTAAGCACTTGAAGTAATACCTTTATATATTTCAAGTTGGGCCAAGATTCATTTAAAATCATGTTGTTCTGGCGGTGAAGATTTGCCATTTATAACACAATTATATATCAAGGACAGCAATTTATTTGTCAGCTTTTTAACTGCATCTTCCATAAGCTATTTTATTATAGTTTCTTAAAATGCAGCTTCTTTTGTTTGTAAATGTTTATGGAGCAGCATGTTAAAATTGCAAGCATGAGAAAAATGTAGGTGTCTTGTAGCTGTGCAGGCATCTAACGACTTTACTGCATTTCAAGAATTTCATGAACAGCTGAGATGGTGCAAAAAAAAAAATGCTGCAATGGATCAAGTTACTAAGTTCATTTGAACCATAGAAATAGAAATCTAACCTCAATGTGGCAGCAATATGGCCCTAGGCAGCTATTTGCATATAACCCTCTCCTGACGGCTCATTCTTAAGGAGCTGTGCACTGCTCTCGGCATGTCATTAGCTCTAACATTCATTGAAAGAACAAGCTGTGGGTGAATTCACTACTTAAGTCAACAGAATGAGTTTCAAATGGGTAAAATTCGCTGTGCGGGGTTGGCCTTTTTCTCATTGCCTGCCATAGACAGTATTGGTTCATTTCTGTGGTCAAGTTCAGCATTTTATGTCCAGAAGTGAGTCAGTGTGGGCCAATATTTCCCATTTACTTAACCATGACCATCTGCTGTTTGCTCCCATTGTCTGGTATACTAGACAGTGTGGTTATACAGTGAATAGGGAATATGGCAATTCAGTTCACAGCCAGTGGCTGTGGATGAATATCCTTTATGAAGTTGCTTAATCCCACATCGTCCTATGGTATTAAATGCCTTATTTATGGGCAGTGTGCAAAAGTGCTTCTTTTTAATGTCCTGACTCTTGATTCAAGTGGCCATCAGTTTCATTTCATGTTCCTAGGGTCTGTTTGTTTATATGAGACATTTCTCTATACCATTAATATTTTTCTAAACTTCTGTCATGCTTTCTGTAATTTTTCCAAACTAAACAGCCAAAACACTTCAGGCTTTCTTCATGAGGAAAGTGCTCCAACCTCTTGGTCATGTTAAGCCTGTCAAATCACTCCTTTTGAGACAGGTGATTTTATAGAAGAAGAAAAACCCATAGCTTCAGATCTGAAATCAGAATATTTTTTAGGACATGCTTACAGGTCAGTTACAGAATAAGAGAATAACTTGGCTAGGTTAGTGGTGACAAGTAATGCACAATCCTGATATTCCATTTCTCTGATGTTGATTTGTTAAAGCATATTTTCAATGGCCAAGAAAAGAGGAATCAAGTGTCACTAGGCTTTTTCAAATGCAAGTGCTATAATTCTACAAGTGTTACAAATCAAGATATTTTGTTCCGCTTTCATAATTTAATGCACATTGTATTTTCTTATGAAAACCAGGCTTTCTAATTTGCAGTCCTTCTTTATTTTCATGTAGAGCACCATACGTGTTCTCCATTGGCCAGTCCAATGTCACCTCATTCTCTCTCCTCCAATCCATCTTCAAGAGACTCATCTCCAAGTCGGGACTTTTCTCCTGCTGTCATGAATCCCAAACCACCAATCATCATCCACCGAGCTGGGAAGAAATACGGCTTCACACTTCGTGCTATTAGAGTCTACATGGGGAACAGTGATGTCTACACAGTGCAACACATGGTCTGGGTACGTTCGTCTCAGTCATGATATGACTCGCTTATAGCCTAATTTGGAAAGAACCTTTAATTAACTGGGCCCAATAAAACCCCTTGTTTTTCCTTGGCTCTTCCCAGAATCAACGCAGAAATGGTGTCTCTCTTCTACAGAAATATATTGGGTGGGGGGTGGGAAGCTCTCTATCAGAGTTGTAACCCCTGGGTTAATTACATTTAATTCCTTCTGAGCTGTGTTGACAATGATGGTCTGCTTTGGATCATCTCCTTCCCTTAGGATTTTTCACACATCTGCCTGGAGTTGATTACATGTCTTAAAGCATCACTGTCTTCCCACTGAATTGACTAGGGATTTGGAATTCAGTTCAGCTGTGAATTATACAAGGGGCTTGCTGTGTGTGCTTGCTGTTTCTCCTTCACCCGTATTCTCAGACAGCCTGTCTTGTATACGTGTTCTCTTTTTGAAGTTTATATGCGATTGTTTGCCAGAGCCATTCCCCACAAAGAATGTTTCTCAGTTTTAATTGCATGATGCTCACAGGTTAAAAAGAAAAAAAGAAATGGGAGGGGAAAGAGTGCCCCAATTTCCCTATAGACATCACTTAAGGTTTCCTCATCAAAACGGTGGTTATTGTTTGAATCTAATTATCAGTGATACAATAATAATATGGAATAGAATAATTGCTTTTGTAAATCTGCTTCTGATACTTATTCTGCTTGACCTTGACAAGGACTACATTATGTAGAAGACTTAGCTGTCATAAGGCACAGGATCACATGCCACAAATTGAACACGTCATCATTTGGGTTGTTTGTTTTCATGGTTGCAATTGATTGTTTACCCATCTTGACTCATAAATATTCATAACTATTTGTATTGGGAGAGAAATTATTATTAATAACTTAGAGATGAGTAGCAGAACCACACCACATGTCATGCAGCTATAAGGCCCCAGGAGCAGTCCCTGACATCTCCAGTTAGGTAGATAAGCTGAGAAAGACCTCTGCCTGAGACCCCAGAGAATGTATGCTAGATAGACGAGTGGGCTAGATGAGCCAGCAATCTGACTTGGTATGAGACAGTTCATTTATATCTTCACAAAGGTCCAAATGAAAAACTTGGTAGTGAGCATAGCATCGCCTTCTAGCATATAGTGCACGGAAATTCTGAGACTGGTTTGTATGTAGAGTTGAGGGGCAGATAACATGAGCAGATGATTCTGTTTGTTGAAATTGATGTATTGTCTCTATATTGTCAGCATGTAGAAGAAGGTGGCCCTGCAAGTGAGGCTGGTCTGAGAGAAGGGGACTTGATAACCCATGTGAATGGAGAGCCTGTACATGGACTGGTTCATACTGAAGTGGTGGAGTTGGTCTTGAAGGTAAAGATGGAGTATACACACGTGCTGTGCAACAAGTGCAGTGTGCATAAACATAAATACTTAATAAAAAAAGGGATGCTTCCCCCAATGAGGTTCTCCTGGAGTACCCCTTTGTGTCATTTTGGTGTCTGACAGATACCCTTTATTTCCCCAGACTTTCGTTTGCTTTATCTTGCTGATGATTTTAGTCTATGTTGCTTTTATATGTTGCTCTAACATCCAGCCCAACCAAAATACTCACGAGAGATAAAGAGATAAGTAAAATGTGTGTGTGTGTGTTTTCTTGCTGGCAGAGTGGAAATAAAGTGTCCATATCTACTACACCTTTTGAGAACACATCAATTAAAGTGGGGCCAGCTCGGAAGGCCAGCTATAAATCAAAGATGGCAAGGAGGAACAAGAAGAGCAAAACAAAAGATGGACAGGAAAGGTTAGTGATACTTTCTCTTAGGAAATGAAATTATGCTCTGATAGCAGTTGCCAAGGAAAACTGCAGAAATATCTTCTGCCAGTGAATGTTTTATATCACAAGAATTACACAGTGAGAAGCGATTTTAGTAAGCTATGGGTTGCACCCAGAGTTCCGTAAGTGAAGTTCCTGCTTATGAACACGGTGGTCTCAGAATTGCCTCCTTCTGCACCTTTTAAAAATCTACTCTGGATGCCTGTAGGGTCCTCTGCATGGGAATAGCACAGGGTAGGGTTGCAGGGAGAAAGGGAAACCGGCAAAATTTGCCCACCCCCCTGCACCTTGTCTACAGAAGTCTCTGCTGGATCCAAGTTTTTGCTGGGGAAAGATGCATATCAAAGATGCTGATCCTATTTGTTTTTACAAATAATGATAGTATTCGCTTTCACTTTCTCAGTAAGAAGAAGAGCTCTCTGTTCAGGAAGATTACCAAGCAGGCTTCTCTGCTTCACACCAGCAGGAGTTTGTCTTCTCTCAACCGTTCTCTGTCATCTGGAGAGAGTGTTCCTGGTTCACCTACTCACAACCTCTCCCCTCGTTCACCAACACAAAGTTACCGATCTACTCCTGAGTCTGCACATTCAGGTAAAAGGGGAAGCAGGGAGTAGAGAGTGGCAGACCTTAAGCAAATCTTTCGGACTTGGTAGTAAAAATGTAGCATTTTCTCAGCCTGAAGGGCACAAGGAGACATGTCTTACAAACTATCAGGGTTCCCAAAGTGAAGCATGAACCTCTTGGAAGAGGTGAAAGGGTTTGATTGCTGTAACTTGAATTCTCTCACTGTGTTGTGGCCAAGCACCAAAAATTGTAATGTGGTGTAGAAAATAGTGGGTGAAAGCAGCACAATTGAGACAGGGTGTAGGTGACTGATATTTTCTGTTGCAGTGGGCCACAACTGCCTAAATTCAACCCCACCTTTGCCAGGTTGCAGTAGCCAACTTATTTCAAATGTGATACTCGTATTATAGCAGTTCCTAATGTTTCTCAATGTATTTCCATGCTTTTTTAAAATATCCTACTTTTTTATGTTCACAGTTGGTGGAAACTCTTCTCAGAGCAGTTCACCCAGTTCGAGTGTTCCCAACTCCCCTGCTAGTTCGGGACATATCCGACCCAGCTCTTTGCATGGACTAGCACCAAAGCTTCAACGGCAATATCGATCTCCACGACGTAAATCTGCAGGGAACATTCCTCTCTCGCCACTAGCTCACACTCCCTCGCCAACCCCACAGTCTACGTCGCCTCAGCGCTCCCCTTCTCCTTTGCCAGGGCATTCAGTTGGCAGTTCAGGCATCATGCAATCATTTCCTGTCAAGTTACACTCCTCCCCACCTCTTGTCCGACAGATTTCAAGGCCCAAGAGTGCTGAGCCACCAAGATCCCCTTTGCTGAAGAGAGTCCAGTCAGCTGAAAAACTTACCTCCTCTCTCTCTTCAGAAAAAAAGATGTCGTCTTCGCGCAAGCATAGCTTGGACATCTCCCATTCAGAATTCAAAAAGGAGATGCTCCAGAGAGATCCTGGCCTCCAAAGTTGGCAGGAATCCATGAGTGAAACAACTGGAGGCAAAGTTGGACTTGCAGAAAAAGGGACCCTGCAGAAACCTCCTTCCAGAAAACTGGGACCTATTCGGCATGATAGGGTGGAGCGAAGGGAGTCTCTACAGAAGCAGGAGGCCATCACAGAAGTAGATTCTTCTGAAGATGAAACTGACGAAGGATCAGAAGATAGTCAAGATGGGAAGAAAATGGACAGGCCAGCCTTCAATAGAGACCACCAAGTTTCTGATCCTTTCTCCGAGGATATGAAGGTTTCTTCCAAGTTGGAAAGCAAAGACAGTATGGAGGATGATGCGTTTCTTCCTGAGGAACCAAAAACTGTCAGTTTGCAGAAAGGGGCGGATCAACACCAACCAAAGGATGTTGCAAGGACACCACTGGCCGGTATAGATGAGTCACAATCTGAAGTTTGTGTGAGAACTTCTCCTATTGAAAAATTTGGTGACTGTGAAGCAGTTAAGCTAACAGATTCTGAAACCCAATTAGGGTCAGGACAAGGCAATACTCTCAGACTTGTTAATCAGAAATGTGCCTGTTTCGAAGATGCTGAGGACCCTAAACAAACTCTGATTATCCAGGAAAGCATAGACTGCCCAGAGCAGGTGAAGTGCCTACCAGTGAGATATCTGCAGCTCGGTCAAGGTGACTGTTCAGGGCTGGCAAGTGGCAAAGATAACCTGAAGGAATTTGCTTCTACAGAAACTACTTATATGTTGTCTCATGATATTATGCCTTTGTTAGCACTTTCTTCTTCTACTTGCACAACTAGCACAAGCTCTCTTCCACTAATAAGCCAAATGGACTGCAAAGATGCACCTCAGAAACAGGAAGCCCAGTCTGTCAAGGAAAGCACCAGTATTCCGAACCTGACAAGCAGTGGCAAAACATCTTCACAAAGGTCTCCTGATGCCGAAGAATCACAAGGTTTGTCATCTGCCACATTAGTTTCAAAACACAAAATTCATACAAGTGATACAAACTTAAGTTGTCCTATAGGAAGACCAAGTCTCACACTTGATGCAGCAGCTGAAAATGGAAAATCAGTTTGCCCAGCTCCTTTAGCAATAGGTGCAAAAGGCATGTTGGGCCCAGGAAATATTAACGTATCTGGCTCAAGAGAACTAGAAAGAACAAGGGAAGAGTTCCCCCCGAAGGAACTGTTTCATATGAAAGAGAGTATGCCAAAGGAAGAAATGCAGGAAACACTAAAGGAAGGCCCAGGCCCAGTAACAGCCAAACCTTTCAGCATAGGTAGTCTCATTAAAATATGTGGTTCCCATATTGGGTCCGAAAGCCTATCAGAGTCTTTGGAGCCAGAGTGTTCAGTGGGAGCAAAAGAGAAGCCAGGGACTGGTAATTCTAAGGTACCTGAAATTTTGGAGGACAGGTGGCAATTGCCTCCACCTGAAAAACAGGCAGATGGCACAGCAAGGCAGGGCACAGGGGTTTCATCTGGACCAGATTCTAGCCAGAATTCCAAAAAGGAAACTGCTCTGATGCCAGGAGAAATCGGAGAGGCTGGAGGTCAATCACAAACAAGAGACTTCCTGTTGTCAGATGGTGACGTCGTGAAGAAAACATAGCAACATATCTACATTCAGAAGCAAAGACAACATTAGTAGAACACAAATATAAAACACAAAACTTGTGCAACTTTTTTTGTTGATTTGTGTTTTCACACTCTTGCCTTTTTCATTCTTGCAATTCTATTTTTGTACTCAGCGTTTGATGCCTCTTAGCAGGGTATCTTTAAAGCAAGATTAAAAAAATGATTTCCAAACTCCGCCCCCCCCCAACATTTTTGGCCCTAAATTTGAAGCATTCTGTTAAATATCTATTTTCTTTCAAAATTCCAGGGAATTACATTTGCCAAATTAGACCGCTCACTTGGAAATGGCACATTTTGAGCACAAATTCCAAATTTTAGTCCTTGTTTCCAAAATTTTAGGTCATGTCTTTTAAGTTGGCAAGGATTAAAATAAACACTTTTGATGGCAGACTGTTCTGAATCATTATGCCACCTCACATATTTTCTTACATATCATAGACGTCCAATTTATGTATATCTGTGAGGAAACCTTGTGTCAGCTTGTGCAATGGGGCAATACCCTCCTTTTAAAAAGAACGTTAAGCAAAACAGCAAAATAAAATCTTTAGTTTATCTTTGTTTTTGTTTTTAAAAAGGCTTTGATTTAAAAGAAGATTACTTCTTTTTCTCCCTTTTTAGAATTTTTAATCCTTTTTGCTCAAAGTAGTCAGTAACCTCAAAAGAGGCACATGGTGCTTCAGTTATGCTAACTCAGGAGTAAGGGGCCTGTAGGCTTTCACTAATTGCTAACTACAACTCCCATCATCCCTGACTATTGGTCATGCTGGCTAGGACTGATGGGAGATGCAGTCCAATAACACCTGGAGGCCACAGGTTCCCCACCCCTGCTTTAGCAACCTAAGCTAATTTACTTTACTGACATGTTGCTGTGAGAGGCAAACATTTGGGACTATCACACCCCCAGTCTTATGGAGCTATCTTGATTGTTGTGGACGAAAGTTAAAATCCAGTGAAGTGTTCTCATTTGACTTTGTGAGTGAGAGAAGTGATCTTCATTGATTCATCAGGAGGCAGCTAAGACCAAACCGTGTCTAGGTGAAATAGTCCTGTTAGCATTAGTGTCTCTTTCCCAAGTGTAAGTAGGTAATTCAGTAAATTGACCCTTCAGTCATATAGAAAGTTTATTATAATTCAACGGTCCCTTCCATTGTTTAATCCACCTTCTACCTTTCTTAAATGTCTATATTTTCTAAGTAACCTTTTGAATGTTTTTGAAAGTTCAACATGAGTTGGTGCTTTTTGCTTAAAGACATCTGAGTCTATGATACTGCACTGATACATACAGTATAGCACTAGCAGCAGCATTTCAAGTATATTACTTATTGAATCTAATTACAGTTTATAGGCAAAAGTAACTATTTCCATAAACTCCACAATACTTACAGCCTTGCCTAACAGAATGCATCTGTGTGTGTCTGTGTGAGCAGAGAAAGTAATTATTTGCATAGTCTGCTGTTCTACCTACAGAGGTGATCACATGTTGACTAATAGCTCTCCAGGGCAAGCGCTGCAATTCATTACAGCACAGCTTTATTGCTCAGCCAGGTTTCTGATATGAAGGCTCTTCCTGCACCATTTCTCCTTACAGAGCCTACGTGTACTTTTTGACTAGGAGTATGCTCTTAAATCCTTAATTTATTATAATCTCATTTCAAGTGTGTCTTGCCCAAACTCCCTGATTCTCCCCACTACATACCCAATTATTTGGTTTTAGTTTTGGACCAATTTATTTTTGATTTGGGGTTTTCTTTATATTAGCCTGTGTGTGTAATAAAGGGAAGTGTGTGTGTGTGTGTGTGTGTGTGTGTGTGTGTTGTAATGCTGCAGAAAGATCCATTGGCTTTCTCATATAGAACTTGAAGCTTCAATACTCAAAACTTCAATAGTAGTTCCCCACAATGATTTAAGATCTGCTAATCTCTTTAATCCTGCCACCAGTGCACAATAGCTAAATTTATGCATTAACATTTTTAAAATAAAGCATTAGGCTTTCCTCCATCCAGCCACACCTTTATCTTACCAGCCTATCACTTTGCTGTGTTGCCCTCAGAACAGAGGCAACTGGGGCCTCAGTGAATACATACATTTAGAGAAAGGGAATTGATGGCATAGCCACTCAGAAATGCACATTAACTTGAATAATGTAAAAATATTAAATGCATTGATTTACACTGTGTGAATTTGAGCCCCGGGGATGAATAATGTAGCTTCAAACATACCTTGTAGCATCTGTTTACACAAAGGCAGCCAAAGGATTTATATCTCTAGTTTAGCCAAATAAAGCATATTGGGCCACCTCATTTCTGTATAGATGCCACTTATATATTACCTTTTTATGTATTCATTCTACCATTACCAGGAAACCTATGTAATTGTTAAAGCCTGCAGAAGCCTTCATTTTTCATGTTACTTGATATATTCTGTAACTGTTGTCCCACTTCAGTAAAAATGATTGGCCACAAAAAATCGTTGCATCGAAACCACATGGCAGTAAATCAGATTTATTCTTTGGACATCTAATATATATATATATATTGAAGAGTTCAGACAATCATGATGTTTCTGAGGGAAAAATTTAAGGTCTTAGGCTTAATATTTTTAAGTGCTTATAAGGAGGCAGCATGTGATGAGAGTTGAACTGATGTTACCATGTTGAGGAGACAGGTGTTTGCATAACTATAGTCTAGTTAAGCCACTATATGTATACAGTGTTGATCCACTTAGCTGAGACTGGTCTCCATGATGTTCCATGAATGGGGGTGATTGGATAATTTTGTTTAGGCATGCAATATACAGAGTCCCCTTAGCAAGTTGCTTTCCCACTTTCTCTTATTTTCGTTTGGTGTCTAGAATTTCAACTTTAGTTTCCTTCATACAGCCTTTAAACCTTTCAATATCCAGATGGTGCATTTCTCAGCAATACTTCACACCATTATATGGTGCATCTAAAACCATCAAATAGATATTAAGTGTAAATATTAGACTTTCGCCTTGCCTAAAAACCACTCCTGGGGAACAATGCCTAAGACTTTTTGGTGTTTGTTATGCTACAGAAGAATACTCAACATAGACAGGGTAAAAGGAATAACCTGTGGGGCTTTTTTCCCTCATTAGCACTGAATTAAGGTGTTCTTTGGGGTTTTTGTTTGTTTCTTCCTGTGGGGAGGATTGTGTCTTTCTCCAGTTTTCTCTTACTGGACATGAAGGATGATGCCGTACTTCTAGTGGGTGATTTTACAGCTGTGTGTGTGTTTACATTGTGTTTTGGTTTTTGTTATTCTGGAGGCTGTGAGCCCACCTTTCAAGATGGGCTTCAATTTCAAGTTGGTGCCAATCAGCACCTGACTAGTAGAAATATAAAGTTGGGATATAAGTGTTTTTAGAAACTTGAACAATTGCCACATAATAGAGGTGCAATAATTTTTATTCCTGTTGTACCTGCATGTTGATGTTCAAATACTCCTGAAATACACTTCATTTTTTTTTACATAAACCCGTGTCCATTTCTTAATTATTTCTCTTCAGAGGTTTTCCTGTGATACGTTGCATTAATCCTGTGTTTCACTTGATCCATGCTGAGTGTCCTGCAACAACCCTAATGGGCTTTGTTACAGTGGTTCAGTTCACATGTTGTAGCAAACTATATTTAATGGTTTACTGTAAACACAAATATTGCTTCCACTTAGTTCCTCCCCTAATGGGAGCTACAAACCACCATCCCTGGCTTGGCATTATGCCTGAGCCAGTGAATTCCCCCTCCCCCAAACCATGATGGGTAAGCCGAGAAGAAACCTTTGTTTCATGGTTAGCCAGGTATTGTGATTCATTGGTCCCTCTTAACTCTGTTTTATGATATGCAAATGCAACCAATGGGTGGATGCATATAAGACTTGCCAGTTGATAATGTACTTCAGTGTTCATGTCAACTGCTTCTTGATACTGTAGACTGCGTGCCAGTGTTATATGTACTGTGGTAATTTACCACTTGGTAAGTGGTCACCTGCATTCACTCCTGTTCTTCCATGAAATCTAGTTGTTTCATCATAACATAGTTCAGTATACTAGCAGCCTGGGAAGATGGCCATGGGTGACGGGTGCAGTTTTATTTGAGCAGTCATCCTATGCTTTCCTACCACTAATATGTAACATATTACCATACAAGTACTATGCTTGGGCATCATGTAAAACGAGCTCTGCGATTCCATAGTCTTGTGGTGATAGCCACACACAAAGCTACACAAAGCCAGACACATGTACCCACATGAGAAATAAATGTAGAGCTATAAAAACCTTAAGAGAGGGCAGTGCCTGGGAGCTATCACCCTCTCTCCATTGTGTTCCTGCAGCAAAGGCTTAGGCCGCTGTGCAACAATTTCGCTCCTGCCACATTCCATTCCTGCACCTCATGAGGGAAGGCGAACTGTTTGCTCAAGAGAGGAGGGAGACAACAGCTATTCCTCTCCAAAAAATGCTGAAATGAAGTTACAGCTTTCAGCATACACCATCTTCTTATGCCGTAAGCCAGCTGTTTGTTCTGGATGTAAAGCAACTGGGGACCAGGGCCTTTACATTGCTTTAAAGCATGTTTTATACTTCTTCCCTGCCCTGCCCCCAAAGAATTATGGGCCCTGTGTTTTGTTAAGGGTTGCTGGGAATTGTAACTTGGTGAAGGATAAACTACAGTGTCTAGAATTCTTTGGGGGGCGGGACACACATGCGGTTCAAATGTGGTCAAAGGGGGGCACATGGTTCAAATATGGTCAAAAGGTATCCTGCGTATGCAGCCTAGACGCAGGCTAACGACCATCTTAAGCACAACCACAAGGGGCTGATTCCAAGCTGCTCTAGGAGGCAGGTGGTCCCTCCTCCCAATATTAGCTCTTGGTTCACCAATGGCATGGCTTGCATATTTTTACCACATAGAAAGGCCTTCAAACTGCTGTTTTGTCTCTTTACACACACCTATCCTGCAACTCCTGAAGGGAATTGAGAGCTGTTTGCTCAGAAGAGGAAAGGCTAAGGGCTTCAATAGGCCTGGCCTGCCTCTGTAAGGCACTGGGGTAGAGAATAAATGGGCCAAAGCAGCCACACTGCTCATGACAGCCCTGAGGTTAAAAAAGGCGGGAAAGCAGGAGAGGCTTCTAGCACCTTGATGGGGCATAGCTCTAGTTGCTGCTTGATGCCGTGTTACACCTGCTGAGGTGAGGGATGCAGTGCTGGCCGCCTCTATGATGGAGATTATGATCAATGTCACCTGGGAACTAGGCCACATTTCAAAAGGTAAGGAAAAGGAGCAAAAACCACACAGTAGAAAAAAGAATATTGTCCTATGTGCTTCAGATCACTCTGGTCCTTCCTTAGGGAAACTATAATTTTTTAAAAATATACCGTATTTTTCCTTCTAGAAGACGCCCCCATGTATAGGACGCCCCCTATTTTGGGGGAGTCAGAATTAAGAAAATGGGGGAAGATGTATCCATGTATAAGATGTTCCCTAATTTTTGACATTATTTTTTAGGGGAAAAACCTAGTCTTATACATGAAAAAATAGTAATTACCCAAACTGAATACTGTATAAAGAAGCCCTTCATAAACAATATGTAAATATCATTATAATCTTAGAAAGAACCAGTATTCAAAAGAAAATGTACAAGTGTAAATATTTTAATAATATTTGTTATTTTGACTATCATAAAAACTGAATACATATGTGTATATGCAATAACAAAGGTACCGGTAGGTTACTTGCTCAAATAGACATTCAATATTTTGTTATGCCTGCACTACTACACCAAATGGAAATCAAGCGTAGCTGTTGACACTGCAAAATGTCATGGGATGTGGCAGAGTTAGGCAAATCATGGGTTGCTAGGTTAAACAGGGCAGCCTAAGGACATTTTTTTTTGCCTAAAACAAAGATGGTGTGTGGACCCAGCCTTCTGCATGCACAAAACGTTGAATCTTGAGGGGTGTGTGTGTCCTTTTAATTGCACATTCATTATGATTTCCATTCATTATGGTATTAGGGTGGCTACATGCAATCCTACTTTCAATACTCTGTGCCTACATGTCCCATACTGCATGTCCCACAGCATCGTGCTAAAATCTTGTAATGTTTTATACCACAAATATTCCATTTGTTGTTTTTTTGGTCCCACTTCTGCTGCATTATAGCCACAAAAGTACATCTCCAGGCAGAAATAATGTGGTAGCATTGAGGAAGCATCATGGAACAACTAATAAGTGATGTGTGGATGGTCCCATATAGATCTGCCACCCAGAGTAGTTTCTTCACTCTGCCTAATGGTAGGGCTGGCCCTGCTGAGCAGCTGATTTGCTTTCCTCCCAGACCAGAAGGCAAGTATGTGAGAGGAGATGTGCTGCAGAAAAGAGGTCCTTGCAAGCCTTTTTCACTTCAGCTTTCCTGCTCTTCGTGTAAGTGGGAAAAGCAAAGTGCAGCAAGCTGTGTCAGAAGAGGAACGCTGCCTCTCCTCAGAAGTGCTAACCAAAGCACATCCCAAGTGGTGTATTTCTCCTCCAATAGAAATAAACTGCTGTAATGAAGCTCAAATAGTGCCACATCAGAAATGTACTGCCTACTGGTTAATAGGGCTCAACTGAGAAGTGTGGGGAAGCGCTTCTTGTGACGTGTATTAGCTCAGGGTCTAGAGTGGGAGAAAATCGGATGCATCGAGTGATATCGGGACCTTGCCCAATTTAATAACTCCAAGAGGACCTGATCTTGCCCCACAAGCCAGGAGACATGGAATGGGAGTTTACTGTAAGAAGCTTGCTTTTTCTGGTCACAAGGTAATTAAATGTGTGATTGATTTTGTGCTTTATAGTACACACCAGCAAGCTGGGTAGGTAGTCCTGATTGCCCAGTGCCAGAAACACACACACTAGATCCACAACACCACCCCTCAAACTGTCTAGTGTATGGTACTGATGGAACTGCAGTGGAGATCTTACGTGTTGGAATTCAATATATGCTCAGCTTTCCAATCCTGTGTACTTGCATCAGAAAGAGACAGCTATGCCATACTTCAAACATTGCATTGTGCAAGTGTTGTTCTATGCTCAGTTTTAAGAGGCATTGTTAAGTACTGAGTATGATTGGTTGAAGTGGAGAGGGGGGAGAGATGTTGCTGGACACCAACAATGTCACAAAGTATATCCGTTGGGTACCCTAATGTTAGTATGACGTCATTTCACTTACCAAATGTAATAGCAACCAACAGGCTATGCAGGTTGGATGGGGGAAAGTTTCCTCTTTCCCCATATATTGCAGCCATGTTCCAGTTATAAATAAAGAATTCAGCAGAAAAGAGGACAGGGAGAAAACTGGAAATACAGTTAGCTCCACCTACTGTTCTTCTTGCTTCCCACCCTACCAGCTACACTGGGCAACACCCACCACTGTTGTTACAAGAGTTCTCTGCAGACTTGATCTGTTGCTGCATCTACAGCAGTGGAGGCTGAATCATCTCCACTGAAATCAATAGGTTCCCCTAAATTGCCACTAGCCTTCCACTAGAGGGCAGCATTGTTGCACAAGAATAAAATGCATAGGCTAAATCTTGGGGATTTTCCCCTCTTCTGTGTTAAATATGACCACTGGTGCCATTACAGTGGTATCTCGGGTTAAGTACTTAATTCGTTCCGGAGGTCCGTTCTTAACCTGAAACTGTTCTTAACCTGAAGCACCACTTTAGCTAATGGGGCCTGCTGCTGCTGCCACCGCGCCGCCAGAGCACAATTTCTGTTCTCATCCTGAAGCAAAGTTCTTAACCTGAGGTACTATTTCTGGGTTAGCGGAGTCTGTAACCTGAAGCGTATGTAACTCGAGGTACCACTGTACTTAGATCCATCATGTGTGACATCACAGTACGGCATAGCCCACTGCTGATGCAACTGTTTCTCCTTAAACAAGAAAATCACCTTATGCTTGTTTTATATAGGGCAGCTAGCTCAATAAGTGTGTGCTGTGAAGTACTGTACTGGCTGTGGGTATCAGACAGTCACTGACCCTTTGGAGATTTCAGCACCTGTTGAGTTGTTTTCAACTGTTTCTAATGTTGTTTTGATGTTGTAACCTGGACTGGGACCTTAAAGTGAAGAGTGGGAAATAAATAAATAAAAATCGGAAGACATCTTTAGTCCACTAGGTCTCCGAGAAGGATAATCCTGGCCTGGTTAATTATGAAATAGTAAAATTGTATTTAAATAGGTTTCTACTTGATTATTAATATATTTTATTTATTTCTCTTTTTTACATCATTTTGACATTCTTTTGAATATAACGTGATTTCCCCCCCTAAATTAATGCTCTACAATAATAGGCAGATTGCACAATAATAATAAAAATAAGCAAATTGCATGATTAGCTTTGAATTAGGGCTACCATATTAACAATAAACACACACAAACAACTCCACCCTCTCTTCCCTGGAAGTAGCCCCCCTTTCTGAATTAAAAAAGTTATTAAATTAT